TTCTTAAGGTCCTTTCTATCCCAAACCGTTATATGATTCTATATTAAGGGCAGGTAAACAGGAACAAAAAGATGATATGGAATCAGCTAAACAGTCAATAAATCTTAAAGACCAAAGAAAACCGGAAAAATCCTCCTGACTTCAGTCTGTTAAAACAGAATAGTTCTATTTTTATTGGCTTCATCAAAATCAATGGCTGTATAACTTTGATCACAGAACCAGACAGCTGTTTCACTTTTCTCACTGTCCAAGCTGACACAATTCTGGAAGTCAATGACTTTATATCCATGTGCCTTCTTTCTTCACTCCCCCCTGTCCCCGCCCTTTTTCCTCTTTTTGTTCTTAGAGGATCAAATGGAACAAAGTATTTTTTAAAATTTGCCTGAAGTTGATAAGAGAAAACCCTGAACTGGGGCAGGTATCTGTTCAGTGAAGTAGGACTCAGCTGAGTGGTGTCCCCTGTTTGGGTAGGCAGCAATGGTTTGTTGACAATGAGCACAACTACTTTTCAGCAAAATCAACCCCCCTACTCCCTCTCTGCCCCATCTCTGACTACCAGGTTGATTTTACCTTGTTTGTATGTGGTAATAACCCGTAATATCTGTTATGTAACAGCTATTCCACAATGGCCTGCTTGCATGTCAGCTTTATTTCACATGAAGGGTGACTTTATGTGGTTTAGTTCAGTCTGAGGTGCATTATGCTAAGCCACAAAAAGGCATTCCCAGACTAGAACATGTGTCCACAAGGCAAGTCAGCACAGAATAGCTACTGCTTTAAATTCACACCTGAGCTTATTTCTCAATAGGTTAACAAGTACTTTAAAAGGAGATGATGGGGGTACGTGAACATAAGGGTTAGCACAGTAAACTGCAGATTGCCATAACCACCTTTTAGGATAACCTCATCTGTGGAGGAGACAAACTACCCTGTCTTAGGCAAGAGAAAGGAGGATTATACTTGGTTGAGAGCCCATTTCATGTGCTGGGGTTTAGGTAGAGGTTTCTTTTTGTACTTTTACAAAGCATCTGAAGCTGTATTGCCATTATGTAATATACAGAAAACATATGCATATGTGCCTATAAATAGCATACCTTTTCCCCACTTCTCATTCAATTAATACTAGTCATTGAGATACATTACTTCTAAATTAACAGGGAGCTCTCTATTAATAGACTTCATCATATTTTCCTGTTTGCTCACATAATGATGTGTAACACTGGTTCCTGAATTATTTCTCTAATAATCGTGCTGCTCTTTTATTGCACAAAGTATGAGGCAAGTCAGCAGTCATTCACTTTAACGCAGGCCTTCTCCATACAAGATATGCCCTCTTGAAACTATGGGGACAACTTCAACTCTGAAGATTTAGTTTCAGTGTGCTACACTAGCAACTTGCCCAGTCATTAGATCAACTGATACAAGCTGGAATAAAGTATGAAGGTATAAGTCTTCTTGAGATACCTTTTTTCCCTAGACCATCCCAGTTCCAGACTGTTTCAACTAATGTGAAGTGCAAAATTTGGCGTATTATTGTGGCACAAATATAAAATGTTGACTTAGAGCTGTATTAAAGTGCTGTGGGCCACGCCACAATAGAAAGGCTTTGCCTGTCTTTGTGCAAGAGGCAGAGTACAAAATCATCGGAACCATTAGTCTGGGAGAGTTTTTCCAGTCTCAAGCGGTCACTTTAAGCTCTGCAGGAATTTCCACCGACCCAGTGGCCACTTCACAGCCCCGTCTGCTCTTCAGCACGGTGAGTCACAACCACGTAGGGAGAGTACACACAGAGTAATCCAGCCAGGCGGCACCAGGACCGAAGACCCATCAGCAGCAAAGCTCTGGCTCTTCATCTCTTCATCCTCCTACAGCCTGCTCTTCAAGTAAAGGTGACTCTTTACTACCTGCATACGCAAGAGCCGCTTTGCTGGAGCTTTAACAATGACTATAATACAGCTTTCTACCACGTCAGTTAACAAAATCTCATCCGCTCTAACACACAAGAGCCAAGTATCCCTCAGCGTCACCCTCCCTTGTCAAGAAAATCCCCTCACAAGCGCCTTTTCCTGGCGCTCAGGACATGAGCCGCCACCGCCGGGCCCACAGCCCACCAGCCGCTGCCAGCGAAACGGGGCGGGGAAACCAGGAACCTGCTACCGGAGAAACAAAAGGAAAGGGAAAGAAAAGGAAGCCCGAGTTAAGGGGCTGCTGCCTGCCATCCACACTCCGCTAAAGCCCTTCGCGCCCGCCAGGACCCAAGCCGCGGCCATCGCCGCTTTAAGCGGTGGGCAGCCGCGTTCCCTGTTTAAGGCCTCCGAGCATGCGCACGGGGGCCTGAGGCGGGGCCTCGGGGAGGGGGTGAGCTTGGTGGAGCGCCGGAGCCGTCCGTCAGGGTGAGTGGGAGCGGCGCGCGGCGGGGGGCCCGGCCTCCAGCCTGCCCCGCACGGGGAGCGGCGGGTAGCAGGAGAGGAGCGGTGTCCCGGAGCGGGCAGAGCGGACCGGACCGGAGTCCGCCTCCGTCCCCTGGAGGTGGGCATGCCCCGGTGGCAGGTGTAAAACCGGCCGCGTTCTGCCTTGGGCGGTGTGTGTGTGGGGGTGTTCTTGTTGCTCCTTCCGATGCCTGCCTGACGGCACAGGGCCATGTCCTTCCCAGCAGTCGCTTCTTCAGGGTTAGCGCCTCCTGGCTGCCGGGTGCGCGGGGGACGGAGTTGAGGGTGGGAAGAGGGAGCCGCTGGGATTGCTGACCTCTGGAACGGGAGCGTGGACCTGACTTTGCTGGGCTCTGTGTCAGGCCGTGGCCCGGGTGGTGGAGGAGGCCCAGAGGAAAGAAGCCTCCTCAGCACCCAGATCAGGCCGTTCTGCCGCTTGTGATGCGCGGATTGACTCCACAACTCGTTAAAGTTGTAAAGTAGGTATGCTTTTTATTCAGCGCTGAGACGCACGGGGATAATTCCTCAAAGTCATGCGTACCTCAGTGTTGTTTCCCTCTACATTTATTCTCTAAAGTTATATATATTCATAAGGTTGCACAACACGCCTATACATATTCATGTCCTATCCCCGCTTCGTATTATAATGAGCCAGAAGGTCCTCTGCGCCTGCGCAGTGCCCCCTCTGGTCATGGGCAAGGGTCTCAAGATGAAGTAACTGAGTCTTCCTCCTGTGGGTAGGGGTCTTCAAGATGAAGTAAATGAGTCTTCCTCTTCTTGCACTTTTCACCTTTCAGTCTTCACATATGGCCTTAGGGTTTGGTCGGTATCCCAGCCATAAATCATCTGCTTCTCCCCCTTATCAGTTCCTTATCAATAGGATCAAGTGTCTGCATTTCCTTATCAATAGCTGCTTATCAATAGGACCAAGTGTCTGCTTTTCCTTATCAGTAGGACCAGGTGCCTTTGTTCTGCTTAGCAGGCATTTACAACAGACAATACTTTTGTTTAAGCAAGCAAATTCCTCTAACCCCCTTGTATAACCCCCCTGTACATTGGTCAACTCCCTGCATCAGTAGGACTCAACATCCTTCGTTGCTACTGATCTCTCTCGGTTTCTCTCTCCTACGTTGTTCTATCTGCAGCTTCTGAAACTGATACTGAACCATCTGCAAGACAGAATCCAGTGGCTTCTACCCTGACAGCAGCAATTTCTAACTGGGTCTTTGGTCATCCTTAGGGAAGTGGATAATCAGTACACTCTGGGATTGCTCTCATGTGGGAACCTGCATACTGCATCACAGGCTTCTCAAAAACACACCAGGTGATGCTCCTGCCTTTCTGGGAGCAATCTGCCTTCTTGTGTTCATTCCTGCCTTGAAATTCTAAGAAAAAATAATGTGTTGGTATTTTAAAACAATTTTCATAAAATGCAACTATTTATTAAAAAGACAATAATGCCCAAGAGGTGATATCTGAAAGCTTTCAGCTTTTTTGACACCTGGATCTGAAAAAAGTAACATTTATACAGTTGGGTGTAGATACGAGTGTGTATACTTGCTTTTGCTCTGTATCAGTCAAATTTGATAAAAAGCTCAAAGATACTAGGCTTCTTATTAAAAAAAGAAAAACGAGATGGCTGGATCAAGATGCTACTGCTGTTATCAGTCTTCCTTTTTTACCCATTTCTTTTTTGAGGGAAGGACTGCAGCCTGCCGTCAACCCTGACAGTGTGTCAAGAGAATCCACATGGAGAAAGCCCTGTGGAGTAACTTCACACCAGAGAATTCAGTGATGAGATGTGAAACATTAGGAAATCTGTATTTATTAGTTCAGTTCATGAAAGTACTTCTCTCTTTATGGCATTTGTTTTTCTCCATTCAGGACAGTCAGTTTTGATTCTGGCTTCTGCCTTTTGAAAACTTGAGTTTGCAGTTAATTAACATTCTTCAAATGTAGAGCTCCTGAGGGGTGTGGTGGAGACTTTGGTGCCTAATCCATTACATTCGGTTCTATTTCCATTCCATTTCCATTCTGTTTCCATTCATCTGACCTTGCCAGTTACAGTTACTGGGGTTTTTTGCCTTTTGCCCAGCCATTCCTATCTCAGTTTGTTTGGTTCAGTCACTTTTGTAATTCACAGTTTCTCCAGTTCTCCCCATTCTGTTTTTCTCTCCCATGCTTTACTGGCTTTTCAGTTGTTATTCTTGCCACATGTTTCTGTTCTGATTCTTAGTGCCAGTCCTTCCCCTCTTTCCTTCCTGCATGTTTCTCATTCAGAGTCATAGTCCTTGAAATTTCTTTGAGTTTCCTCTGAGGATCCTTGTTCCAGCCATTTTAAGACCCCAGTTTCAAAAGACTTCCAGTATTGCTTGTTCTCTGCTTAGGTTGACTGCCTTCTTCCTCCATGCTACATAAGCCTGATACAGAAGGGATATACAAGCTGTTGTTCCTTTTTTTTTCCACTAGGCTGTGCCTGACATGGGCTCTCACAACTTGGAAGCAGGTGAATTGTTTTGGCAAAAATGTATGTAACTGAAAACTGGCTTATGGGCAGTCTCAGAAACAAGAAATTTTAGCAACCAGGACAAGCAAATTGGGCTTTTTAGCACTAAGGAATTTATTGGACATATTTAAAAGCAGTTGTCATATGTCTCTGCAAAACGAGGAAGAGGCAAGGGGAGACAGAAGGAAGAATAAAACTGGACTAAAACATGCCTGGGACTCTCCCAGAGGTACTGTTCTTGCACTGCTTAATGCTCCTGCTGCACTCAGAGGGTGGGTCAGGTGATCTTGGCATGGAATGATGATGTTGAAACTTTTTACTCCATCTGATTTAAAGAGTAAACCCAACTCTGATTAAAAGCTGAAAACCAGCAGTATGTGTTGCTTTCTCTCGGTCTTTAAAAAAAGTAGTCAAAATCATCCTTCACCCAGGCATTACAGATATATTGAAAAGGATTATGTATGTGATGCAAATCCCATTTAGTTCATTTTTAAAACCTCTTTCTCCAAAAACTTTCCTCAGTGTATGGTACTAAAGGGTGGTGTCTCTACACTTAAATGTTGTTTCTAATATGAGGAAAGTTTGATTGTTTCTTACTATGTTATTAGAGTGACCATTTCCTTGTGTAATGTTGTTACTGATTTCCACTGTGGAGTAAATGCAGTCATATTTAGAAGTGCATGTCCTTCTGCAGTGCTGCATTTTATTGTGACAGCTGTCATAGAATGAGTGACAGTTTGCTTGCCAGCCATGCTTTCTGTCCACCCACTCACAGTATCTGCAAGATCCTCAAGTTGAATTAGTGCACAGGCTTTTCAGCCAAAAGCTGTGAAAATGGCCTGGGAAATCAACAGAGTTTTTGTTCCCTCAGAGTGGCAGGCATTCAAAGAAGTAGTCTGAATTTATATTGTATACTTTTTCCAGTCGTAACTTTCTATGCTGCTCTGTATTGTCTTTTCTTTCTTTGAGTATGTTAATATCTTTGATTTTTCTCTATAAATAATTCTTTTTTTTTGGGTACTATGATAGAAAGCAGGTATTTCACAGTATCACAGTATGTTAGAGATTGGAAGGGACCTCGAAAGATCATCTAGTCCAATCCCCCCTGCCGGAGCAGGAACACCTAGATAATGTTACACTTTCAAGTAATGTTACACAAGTATTTCAAGTATGTCTTAGGCATAATAAAATTGCGTTTCATCATCTCTTGTTCAGATTGGATTTTTGTGTGTCCTCAACATAAAAAGGACATGGAACTGTTGGAACGAGTCCAGAGAAGGGCCACGAGGATGATCAGGGGACTGGAGCACCTCCTGTATGAAGATAGGCTGAGAAAGTTGGGGCTGTTCAGCCTGGAGAAGAGAAGGCTGCGTGGAGACCTCATAGCAGCCTTCCAGTATTTGAAGGGGGCCTATAAGGATGCTGGGGAGGGACTCTACATTAGGGACTGTGGTGACAGGACAAGGGGTAATGGGTTAAAACTTAAACAGGGGAAGTTTAGATTGGATGTAAGGAAAAAGTTCTTTACTGTGAGAGTGGTGAGGCACAGGAATGGGTTGCCCAAGGAAGTTGTGAATGCTCCATCCCTGGTGGTGTTCAAGGCCAGGTTGGACAGAGCCTTGGGTGACATGGTTGAGTGTGAGGTGTGCCTGCCCATGGCAGGGGGGTTGGAACTAGATGATCTTAAGGTCCTTTCCAACCCTAACTATCCTATGATTCTATAATTCTATGTATTAAGTTTCAGGATAAAAAACCTGAATCAGCAGTTTTGACAGTGGCCCTTTCTGTAAGGCATGAGCTGCACAGCAGTTCTGCCTTCTCTATGTGGTATATAAACAGTGGATCAAACTCTTAATGACATGGATAGATTTGAACTGAAAGTGAGTAGTGTATCAAGGAGTGATTTGTCCAGACTTAATGTGAGCTCTCAATTCACTGTTGGTTTATATACACTGCATTCTTAACTCATTATTTCTGCTCAGAGCAGTTTCATTAGAGGTTATGAATTTCAACCAAGTTCTGTATGTGCACAAATTGTTTATTAGAGTATGGGGGCCTTTTATATTGCACTGGGCACATCTGACAGTATAAAATGCTAATACAGTTGCTCTGGGGTTATCAACTGTATCACTTGAATGTAATTTTGTTAGGCAGATGTTATCTGGAGGAATTTGGAGTTTTGTTCTGAAAAGTGTTTTATAAAGGGAGTACAAAGTGATGTGCCCATGATTCCGCAGGAAGTCTATAGCAGAGTACAATGCTGAACCCAGCATCTGCCAAAGTTTATTTTAGGCCATCCTTCCTGTTAGGGTTTTACATGAGTATATTTATTCCAGAGATTCTATCAGCTGTGTGGGTATAAAAATGGATTTTTATTTCTCTATTAAACTCCTGTATTTTCATTCTCATTTTTTGTTTTAAACAGTAACGAGTAACTTGATCAAAGTGTAGGTTTTTTCCTTTTGTTGTAGATCGATCTCCTGCATTTTTCTGTCCAAAGAATTGCGCAGGTCACTTAATTTTTATTGATGTGATGCTGTGAGGACACATACGAGATTCATTTCGTGTGGTTTGTTGTTTTTTTTTTTTTCTTGTAGCACCCTTGGATGTTGAAATACTGAAAAGAAACTAACCCTGGAATAATTTTTGCTTGCTAAATAGCTTTTCAAGTGCAAACACAATCAAATGTCAAACTTTGATCGGGTTTATGACCAAGATGCTTTTGCTTTGAGTCACTTGGAGGTTTTAGAGGAGAGGGAAAGGCCCATCTTATCCTGATAGCTTTTTAGTTATAGTTTTCAGCGCTCCAGGCTGTATTCCCAAGTGCTGTAATGCAGCCACTATAACAGTACAGGTGGAAGTATTTTCTGTATTTTGCAGTGTTCAAATAGTAAAGATGTTGAGTAAGTGTGGTGGTGTACTCTTTCTAGGCTCATCTATTTAGCTTCACTCCAATTTGCTCTTGTCAGCAGCAAACTAAACATTATAACAAAGGCATGAGCTACGACGTTTCATTCCTTAATGCCCATGGTTCTTGTGATGGTTGGTTATTTATGGCACTCAGCTGAGAACAGTAAGAATGCATGTAAAAGCGTGATTTATCTCCTGCTAAATCAGGTTCATTCCCTGTTAGTCACATTCCCATCTCACAGTTTCAAGAACACAGATTTAAAGTTCTCTTTTAAACTGTTGAAATTCAAGGAGAAAATTTTCAGTTGAACAGTTGAAGTGATGGTCTGTTTATTTCTCACCTTGGGCCAGACCATTTCTTAGGAGAAAATGTGCTGCTAATAGGAAGCCCTGGTATTTCATGTGAAGCATCTTAAGCGCAACAATCTCTTTTTATCATATACCTGCATACTGCTGTTACTGGCATGCGTGCATGCCTTTTATTTGCGCCTGACCTCTGCGTGCAAAGCTGAATTTGTGTCTTCTAGGTGGAAACAGCACAGGAAAACAAACCAAACCCTTCTCTTACAACATGCTCTGGGGTGGTGATGATCTTACAAGGAGCACAGTTCATCAGAATTTTCAGTCTTTCCAGAAGGTGCTACTGTGACACTGTCTAAAATCATGGTTTTAACAAGATAAACAGGGAAACTCTTTATTCACAAGTTTGTTTATTTTACATTTGAGGTTGTTTTATATGATTCTTGGGCATGGATGCTGAAGTTGGCAAGGCCCATATTTCACCCCCAGTTTCCAAATTACAAAGTACTTTGCCTCATATCCTGTTTCAAGAAAACTTGTGTTTCAGTCCTTCAAACAGTGTTTTCCTTTGTAGAAATCCAGTGTGGAATTGCTGCAAAAGCAGAGATGATTATACAGAGAGTAGTGCTGAATTCACGCCCCGGTATGTATTTCTCTCAAGCAATGGAGCAATGTGTTTGTTATGGTTGCCTAATGCAAAATGGGGAGTGTAGAAACAGACACTAACTTAAGATACTGACATTTATGTATCTTAATATTGCAGGCAGCAATAAGTAAAGTTTATTGTGAGCTGTATTTATTTGGTCTGTTTATACCGATGTTCTCTCAGATAAGAAAAAAGGGTTTAATGCATAATGTAGGAGAAAAGCCTAAGTGTAGGGACTTAAAGGGAAGGAAGATTAGCAAGCATTGCTTTTTAGTTCTGGTATTTGTTCATCCTGCATTTTAAGAGATGACTAAAAGAAAGTATTTTGTTACTGTTAATTTTTGTTTCCTTTTAGTAAATACTGAATATTTTATTCCTCCCATGTGTCAAAGTGTTTGTTTTTTAAATTCACACTTTTGAGGATTTGTTTACTTCTTTACTTACATATTTGCTTTGTTACATGTAAGCACAATGTTTTGAATAGTGAGTTTATAAATTGTCTGTTGTAGAAGACCCAAAGGCATATGTTAAGTTTTGGGGGGAGTGTTGTATACTGCTCAATGCCAAATAAGTCCTGAGAGGGTAAGAACAATTGTGTGATCTGCAAATAAGTCTTTGTGCAAATCAAATGTTACAGCAGTAGAGTGCTGGAGTCATCCACTGATTTAAAACACACACAGATATCTGGCTCTTTCCTTTTAGTGCTGGTGGTTCCAGCTGTCAGTCTGACTGATCTGCTGCATGTGGCATGCACCTGAGGATGAAGCCTCCAGTTCTGTGTCTCTTGGAATGTGTATCATAGGTGTTTCTGGGAAGCTTTAATTTAAGGAGGTCTGTCTGCAGCTGCAGAGGGCTGCTCTTGCAGCATATGCATGTGCAGTGGCAATGGTCTGTATTTCCCCAATCTCACTGAGTCAAAAGACTGAAAGAGCGAGAGTTTAAAACTCAATCTGATTAAAATTTATGGTCATTTTTTACTGGCAGAATAGCACATGATGGTTTTGTTACGTGAGAGAAGTCCCAGTGAGTGTCTTTGTTTTGAAAGTTAGGGGCTTTTCAACACATAGGGTACATAGAACCATTTTTTGGGAAGGCGAACAGCCAACTGTCAGTCAGGGCAAATGCCTGCTACTGGCCCAGGCAAACGTTAGCTGACAGATCAGTGTGTCTTCAGTTTGGATGGTGGCGATGCACCCATTTAAACTGTAGTCTGTAACACACAGTCTGAAAGTTGGTCTGTTATATACCTAGTAATAGCCTAACTTACTTGAAAAAGGACTATCTTAAAAGAAGGACTTCCCATATTGATTAAGAGAAGCTCTATATTGATTTATTTGTTTGATTTTATAATACTAGGTAAGAATGGTGTGCCGGTGGCTGAGAACTTCCGACTCGAGGAAAGTACAATAGCAGATGCAATCCAAGTGGGACAAGTGCGTGTTAGAACCCTTTATCTCTCTGTGGACCCTTACATGGTAGGTGATGGACTTAGAGCTAAGCCAGAATTTGTTTTTTAAAATACCTTCAACTCTGCACCTGTCATAAAATCAAAGAATGGCTTGGGTTGGAAAGGACCTTAAGATCATCTAGTTCCAACCCCCCTGCCATGGGCAGGGACACCTCACCTTAGATCATGTCACCCAAGGCTCTGTCCAGCCTGGCCTTGAACACAGCCAGCTTACCAGTTATAGTCAGTAATGTTCCTGTGATATATGTATAGGAATATGATTTTATAGTGTTACTGTAAAAGCTGGTTGAAGAAACTCTCTAAGTCTCAGTTCTGAGTTTTAGACAGCAGCATTCTTTATTGCAGCACTGGGTGCACACGCAAATAGCTTCTCAAAGGTGAGCGCGCCCATTACTTGCAGTCGGCAGCTACATGTTTAGCATACTCATGCGTATTTACAGAGTTTCCAGGAACTAATTATAATATTTGCATCCTAATTAAGCCTGCCCTTTCTTGCTGAGTGCGGGTCTCTGGTGGTTGCTGACAGTCTCCTTCACTGTGTTTATTGAGTGACCTCAGTGCTTGTGCATGCTTAAAGGTCCTAGTGCTGAGTTAGCAGTTGGTATGTCCTTGCTTCTGTTTGTTCCAGTCTCTCTCTGTGTTGGACGCCACTCTGCTATCTTGAAGGCTGGCATCCTTGGTCTTATTTACTGTCTTCTTAGTTAGTTATCAGTCCTGTGATGTTCCTTCCCCTGTCAGCCAAACATTCCTTTCTCTCTATATGTTAGTAAGTTAGAACAGTTTGGTCTATTCTACTACATTAAAGACACACGCACTATTGTTAGTTCTAAAACTTAAGCCTACAATAGGACCAGGAAGAGACTGTGATCCCTGATATATCATGACAGATTTGGTTTTCTAAATTTTGCCTTTTTTGTATACATTTTTAACTTATTTTTTTTCATCCCATAAAATGAAGTACTTTTCAGTTGAGGGGAGTGTGAGTAGAGGAGGAAGAATATTTCATGATGAAGCAAGAAAGGGACATGATCAGGCAAAAAAATTCTAGACACCTAAATGTTTCAAGTTAAATACTATTTTGTTATTACCACTTTTGTTTAGTCAGATTTTCTCCTTAAGTGGGTGATGGCAGGACAAAAATGTGTCAATACATTATAAAGAATGGAAGCAAAGAGGATGAGTGAATGAAGCCTTAACCAGCACTTGCACCCAGTTCTGCAAAACTGTAGAAATCATGTGTTTGGGAGAGTTTAGGTTGAAATGGAAGTGAAGATAGGAGAAGCAGATAGACTGAGTCTGCTAGTGTGTAAAACTTTGCTATAAAGAAAATTCTGATAATCTCTTCCTTGCATAGATGGAGATAGAAAAGAAACACTCTTTGTTTCAGGAAAGTAGGTGTAGCTTGGGAATTAAGGAAGAATTCAAGAATCCTGAAGTACAGGCTCAAGCTACAGGGGGAGATAGAAAATGTTTCAGAGTTCAAGAGGTTTGTCTGTTCTTCAGTGCATAGGCATGGACTGAATGACTCATGGGTGAGGTTTTTTTCAGTCCTACATTTCTATGATTCAGCCAGTTAAGGAATGGCATTACAGGATTCTCCTCAGACCCAAGCCAGTTGCCTTCAGTTACATGGGTGACTTTGAGACAGCATCTATAGAACGTGTTGGATTTGATAAGGCTGCTGGAGGAGATCAGAATGATCCATCCTCCTTTTGTACTGAGCAAACAAGAGAAAAAAGATCTAAGAAAAGATGAGGACTGTTTGGGGCTTATTGAGAGACTTTTGAGTAGCCCTTTGTGTTTGAAGTTTTATAAATATCTCACCCCCACCTTCATTTGAACTCACAAACCATGTGTTCCCCCAGAGCCTCTCATTAAAGCCTTGTCTTTCAGCGCTGCCGAATGAATGAGGACACTGGCTCAGATTACCTCTTGCCCTGGCAGTTGTCTGAAGTTGCTGATGGTGGGGGCATTGGGGTTGTGGAGGAGAGCAAGCATGACAACTTTGCTAAAGGAGACTTTGTAATCTCCTTCAATTGGCCCTGGCAGACAGTGGCAATTCTAGATGGAGGCTTGCTACAAAAGGTAATGTAAAATGTAAATGCAACTGTTTTCGTTTCCTAAACATTTTTTTTTTAAATAGTGGCTAATGACACTAGTTTTTAGTCAAAACCAAGCTAACATTATTGCAGCAACTATTTCTCGAAAGGCAGATCAACTTACAGGTGGCAAAATATCAGTTTCTTCCTTATCTTCATGTCAAAGATAAAATTATTGTAGTTTAAGAATGCATATTTGACAATAAACTCCTTCCTTTAGGACCCTTTGCCACTCACCTGTAATTGCAGTATTTGCTGAACTGTACTATTTTATCCTTTATGCTAATATAGGGATAGTTCGTCATTGCTGGAAACATCTTCATTCCCAAGTGGTTTTTGGCGCTTCAGTAATTTAAGTTTTTGTGAATGACTTTGTTTAAAAACTTCTAAGACTCTGGAAATACAATCTTTGTTTAATTTTGTAAAATTTTGTTATTAGGATAGAGCTAGTTTCTAGACAGCTTGTCCCTACCTTGCTTGGTAAATATCCTGAGTTAGTCTTTTATGCTCAGACAATCAAATAGCAAACAGCAAAACCTCACCTTAAAAAGCAATGAATACTACCATGTGTTTCTGTTTTGTAGCTCATTCCAGAACTTGTAAATGGACGCCTTTCCTACTTCCTCGGTGCAGCTGGCATCACAGGACTGACAGCCCTGTTGGGTATAAAGGAGAAAGGACATGTGGCTGTGGGTGCAAATCAGACAATGGTGGTGAGCGGAGCAGCCGGCGCCTGTGGGTCTTTGGCTGGGCAGGTAGGTGAACTTAAGACATGCAAGCATACTCTGTTACCAAGTTTATCTTCTGAAATATGCTGGTTAGTAAAAGTATGGATAAAATCATTGTAAATGTGAGTAGGTACAACTCCACGAGAAGGGCCACTTCCACAGGTTTGACTCACATTCTCACTGAGAAAGACTGTAGGTGTGAAACTTCCGTTTCATGGAACTGGGGTAGGAGAAAACAGCCCAAAATGATTACTTGTCAATAGATAAAGTCGGTGGTATAAGTACATGTATTTACTATACATTTAGTGGTTTGCTGTTTGAACACAGTCTTTGAGTTGACCGGCAACTTTCTTTTTTCTATAGTAGTAAAAAAATGTAGTAACCGCTTCTTTGGGTTGTGTTCCGTGACATCCTTTGTATTTTGAGATTCCCAGCCCTTTTATCCTCTTCAGCTTTGCAGAACCTGTTGCAGTGGGTTTGTGTGTGTGTAGGTGCATATCTATAAAGATCTATAGAATGTATTTAAATCAATTATTGTCCAATCTTTTGGGCCTTTTATTAGCTATATAACGGTACTTGGCAGGTGGTGATTTTGTTACTGTATTTGGCTTTCCAGTACTGCCAGTCACTGGTGACTCCACAGACTAAACCTCCTGCAGTCACTGAGTTTCACTGGCAGATTTCACCAGTACCTGTCCCTTCCCTAGGTGCGAGGAGGGAGTGACGAGACAGTTGTGTCGTGTGAGATGGGGGGGGATGGGGGAGAACTGTAACACCCCCTCTACCTTTATGCAGATGAGTGATCTCACTTCTCTTTCTTGTTTGTGTTTTTTGTTTTTGTTGTGTCCTGCAGATTGGCCGTCTGGAGGGCTGCTCCAGGGTGGTAGGGATCGCTGGCACAGATGAAAAGTGCTCTATTTTGGTCAAAGAAATGGGATTTGATGCAGCTATTAATTACAAGAAGGGGAATGTGGCAGAGCAGCTACGCGAATTCTGCCCAGGCGGTGTGGATGTTTACTTTGACAATGTTGGTGGAGACATCAGTGATACAGTTATAAGTCAGGTGATTATACCAGCTGTCAGGTTATTCTAGTCACTCTCCAGTGTCTGCATGCCCAGCTTTAGATTAATCATATTGGAGACCAGCCTGCAATACAGCAGAGCAGGTTTTCCACTTCACTGATTTAATCCAGGTGCTGATTCTGGTCTTGAGAAATCAGATACTTGAAATCAGTGCCATCAGATTAGATGAAATCTAACTAGATTGAAATCTGCCATCTGGATTAGGCTGGCGATATAGTAACAGAAACACAATTTCTGCTTGTCATTTCTCGCTTCTTTGGCCAAGAGACTTGGTAATTTTCTAAAAACCTGGTCTGTTAGTGTAGTAATCTTGGGTTTTGTCAGCTTTGGTTTTCTGGCTGCACAAAAATCCAACTGCTGGGCCTCCATAAAGGCTTTTGACCAGCCCTCTTCATTGTTAACAGGAGAATACTCTGTCTCATGGCAGGGAGTCTCTGGTGGCAGCCTCTGAATCACAGCCGTATCCAACTTCTTTGTCCTGTTACCCCTCTCCTCCTTACATAAAGGACGGAAAGTAAGATAACAAGTTGTTGAATTCCTTGTATTTAATGCCTCTTTAAATTACATAAATTGGGCTGTATAGCTTTTATTTTTCCATTCTTGCCCTGCATTTATCTATTTGAATGTTGTCATAGATTGAATTGTACTGCCTGCAGTTCTCCCAGTCTTTTCTAGGAAATGTGGCTCTAACTAAGGATACCCATGTGAACATGTTGTAATATAATCTGTTGCATCTCCAGAAAATCTAGTTTCTGAGACCAAGGAATGTAATTTTTCTCACTTTGTGCTGTCCCAAACAGATGAATCAGAACAGCCATATCATCCTGTGTGGACAGATTTCTCAGTATAACAAAGATGTGCCTTATCCTCCTCCACTGTCTCCTGACATTGAAAAAATACAGAAAGAAAGGAATATCACAAGGTACATTTCTCTTACAGAACTTGTGACCAGGTTTCAGGTAGATCGTGCACATCGTGTTGTGACTCTGATATGCAGAAGCCTGTAGATCCACACTAGGCACATGTAATCAGAACAGAATGTTGCCATATTAAACAAGGGAACTATAATCACAGTGTCAGTAAATCCTTTCTCTTATCTTTGTCTGTATCAGCATAAAAATGGGAAAGGATGTTGTTGCATGTTAATATAGTTGTCTGTTATTCATTGTCTGTGGTTGCTTGATATAGTCGTGGAGTCTCTGACAGATTATTCAGTACGAGGGAAGGTGTTGCCATGGCTCTGGTCTCAGATGTTTTACAGGGTGCCTTCTCTCCAAGTGTAGTAGTTCAGGCAGAGGGAGTAGAAAATATTTCTAAAGTAAGGATGCAGCTGATGCAGAGATTGTATTGAAATTATCTTTTTAGTAGTTGGGGTTTTATTAGATAATGGGACTGTAGGTGTGACAGATATATACAGGTAAAACACCGGGGTTTGTTATGCCTGGGAATTTTGGAATCTCCTGTTAGGGTTCAGGTGGAGCTAAGGTAGAGATTAGGAGTGAAGTCTCAGGAGACTTCATTCATTGCATTGCAGAAAGTTAGGGAGACACTTGGTCTCTGTGGAACAGATGGACCTCTTCTAATAAAAATTCTTTTCTTGTCCCTGTTTTTTTTGTCTGTACTTTTAAAAAATGGATAAAACCACTAAAATACGTCATGCATAGTAGAAGGCACTGGAGAATTTAGTCAGCATGTTGCTACAAGAAATTATCATTTCTGATGATCATTTCAGTTTCTCTTGATCGCTACAGACAGATGTAACAGCAGATTATGCAGAATGCTAGGGAGCCTGAGAGTTAATTCATATTCACCATCTAATTGAGGGACTCTTCTCTTTGACACTTGGGCAGAATTACTTGTCTAAGACCAGTGTTACTGTGAAGCTCCCACTGCAGGGAGGTGTCTCAACAAGCTGGCAAAGCTGCGAGCTATGTCTTGATGTAATTAGTACCCATAACCCTTCAGGTTCAACTGCTGTTCAAAATATGCTTACCCAAGGTTTCTTAAATCGAGGCTGATTCTTTTTTTTTTCACAGGGAAAGGTTCTTAGTGTTGAACTATATGGACAAACAAGAAGCTAGTGTATTACAGCTCTGTCAGTGGATCCAAGGGGGTAAACTGAAGGTAAGAAGGTTTAATCCATGGCCTTTGATACGATCTCCTCAGGTCATGGTCTGACTACAAGAAGTCCAGTTTCTTTGTCCCTGGCTCTTTTACCATGCCTCAGAATTGGAACAGATTTTCCGAAGGATGTGTAAGTATAATTGAAAGCTTCTTAGATAGCACTGGTGTAGCAGATACCTGCTGAGGATGGTGTGACTGTAGCATGACAGACATTTCTAATTACATGCTGCAGATGTCTGTATTCTTTCTTTTAGCGTAGGGTGCAAGTGCTTTTTTATGTAAAGAATCAGACCTTCAAAAATACTTACTTTCAAATACCTGATTAGTTAAGTCCTGAATGCATTTGGGGATCTTGTCTGAAGTTTTGTTTCAAGCTTTATAATCACTATTTATTTTGTGATGGGTAGATGCTTTATCCATCCATTCCCTATGACATGTGTCTGAATTGGGTTTTGATTCTTCAGTAACAGGTAAATGAGTACATTTCATTCTTCAGTAGTCAGTAAATCGGTAACTTTTCCTGGGGAAATCCGGAGACACTATACATTTTTGCAGGGGCAGGGATGTTCTGACTGAAGAATTAAATCAGAAAGTGTTCACTCCTCTCTTGAGGAAAGAACCTGACCCAAACAGAGCACTGCCCAATGTAGCAAGAGAATCCTTTTGATTTTGGTAGCTTCTGTGGTGGTTTCATGGCATGTTTCTACGAAGTGTTAATCTTGTTCGAAGAAAACTAAAAGGACTTGTTTGCATTGACAGGTCAGAGAGACCATGGTAGAAGGCTTAGCAAACATTGGTGGTAAGACTTTTACACCATTTTCTAAGAGTAATAATCTGATTAAATACAATGACAGTAGAGGTTAACTACCTCCTTTGCTTCATTTGCCAATTCAGGTTTTTATATTTTATCTAAAATGAAATTTTAATGTTATAATAAAATACTTTTTTTTTTTTTCCCACAAGGTATAAGTACTTTCTGTGAGAGGATTATTTTATGTTAAAAATAAATCTAATATAAATTTTGAGATCTGTTTGTTTGTTTTTCAATCAGGGGAATTAACTCTTAAACTGGTACCTTAGCTGATGATGTCATGCTCATCTTACAGATTTAAAGTGCTGCCCATTTCTTATGACTAAGAAAGTGGTATTTTGGAAACTTTGAACTCAGTAGTTCAAAAACTCAATATGTAACAGTGCTTGTTAATGGATTTGATAACAAAAAGTACACACAAGAAAGGGGAAAACATGACAGGCTGCTAAATAAAGTGAAAAATAATTTCTTCTAAAGGAACAAAATGGCCTGTAGCCTGTTCAGAAAATCTGTAACAAAGAAAATCTAAAAATGAAGAGGGTCTTGCGACTGCAGTGAGACAGCAAGACAGCCAGTTGATTCCAGATGTGCTGTAAGAATGCTTCCCTTGCAAGTAACAGGGGAGAGTATGGTTTAATTAAGTCTTTAGTCCCGCAAGGTTGGAAGCCACTAGAATTAAGCAATAGCCAAATCTTACAAATGTAAATTTATTCTAGTCATTGTTACTTACTGGTATACATGTGTATTTTGATGAAATTTCATCAAATACAGCAGTCAAATTTCATATTTTGTTTACTCCAAGGTTTATTCTTTTGCACCAGCTTCTCCCATTTATTGTACCACACAGAGTGTTTATAAACCTTTTTCTTTCACAAGAGTTTGTCAAACCCACAGCATTTGTGGGGTCTCCAGTCATGCTTTGTCTTTCTGTTTGGTGTTTGCATGGCATATCATAAAAGCAGCAAATTTAATAGCTAATTTGTGTAGGGCCAAACAGTTGCTTGCAAATCAGGGGTTTTAGTTATTACACAAGACTGTCCTTAGCAGTTTATTACAGATTAGCTTTTTTCCTTTTTCTTCTTCTTAATTTAGCATGTCATTAGGGATAAATATGTTTAGGTCCAAAACGTGATCTCTCTTTTCTGGGCAGCTCTTTCACACATCAGCTTCTACCTTTTCTTTAAATAATCTTTTTTTTTAAATGTCACTTGGCACATTTTGCTTGGCACTAACTGATTTCATTATTTCTCTTGAAGCTGCTTTCCAGTCCATGATGAGTGGAGGCAATATTGGAAAACAGATCGTCTCAGTTTCTAAATAAAAGTCATTCCTTTGGGAAAAATAATTGGATTCTATCTCTAACAGTGAGCAAGTTTTTACTTATACTATTTTCTTCAATAAGCCATTAAATTGTTCTGTATGTACTGAAAGCAGAGATTCTGGGATGCCAATAAACTAAATAGAACTGGAAACAGGAATGCAATGATTTATACAAGAAACAAGTAACAGAGTCTTTGAGAACTGCCAGCTAGCACACTTGCACATATTTCATGGCTATGGTTTGAAAGTTGGAACACACTGGGAGCCATTTCCAATAAGCAGGATCAAGGCAGCCACCTAATTTTGGGTGTTAGAAGAATTTACGAGCAGAGACAAGCACCATTCCTATGTAGTTTGTCTCAGTGGCCAAGAACTTCTCTAAGAGTTTTTAATGTACTAGTGTAAATTCCTTGACAGTCAGATCAATCTGGTTAATCATTTTAGAATTTAACTTTTTTACAAATAATTGCAATGAAAAATTCCATTTCTGGAATTCAGGGTCTCTAATAGCAAAGGTATTTCCATTTTGCCATCTGGAACAAATTTCCATCCATGTGTCATGTCCATTTCTCTGTATTGTATCATTATATCCCCTATTTTCAGAGCATTTGAACCTAATTCATTTATCATTCCATCTGCATGCTGACTTTCATCAGAAAGAGGTTGAGTTCCAAATCCTACTGTATCTTATTTTTATGGTAATCTCCCCAATTACTCTCTTTTTTTTCTGGGGTTTGTACCTCTCCAGGGTGACAGAAAGAGAATCTCAAAACATGCTGCCTGATGAGGGAGGGAAACTTTGCAGACAATTGATTTTCTGTTCCCTCAGTAACTTATCTTGGCTCTGAATTTTTGGTCTAACAATGCTCTTTTACCATCTCAATGGAGAAACTGGAAAAAATAAGTCACTATTTCCAAGTCTGACTAGCAAATGGAACTGATGAGATTGTATCTTCAAAAACAAGGGATAGAAAAGGGAACAGATAATTATCTTAAAGACATTAGAATTCCACTACTGTGTACATTCAGAGACATTAGCACATACTTATTTAGAGAATGGGATTGTTCATGAAACATTCTGATTTACAGGCGGTTTTGGTTTTAATTCATTTGCCTTTAAGGGAAGTGTTGCCAACGAGCAGGGTCAGCCCTGCTGTCCAGAGAATGGATTATCTAGATCTGAAGGAGTCACCTAGGACAAACTAAATGGAATCCAAGGACTAGGAAAGAAACACTATGCAAAAAAATTGGGCATTATCAATCGTTTTGTGTGCTCTTTAAAGTAAGGGAAGTATCAGAATTGCCTAGTATGGTTGTAAACAGTATGAAAACCAGTCCATTCATTTCCTAGTGCTGAAGCTCTTCTGTAAGAAGGAAGCATGCAGTGATGGATGCCATAAACTTTGAGGAAGAGAAAGACACCTGCATTATAGAATTAGATTATATAAATCTTCCAGTATGCTTTTTTCAACTACAAAACTAGCGACTGGTTCACTTTCAGCTAGATTGCAAATCCAGCATCAGCGTAACTAACTAAAGCAGCATTGGTAAGTCTCGCACTGGGATTAGAAGACAAAATTTTATGCGATCAGTATGATCATAGTTGGCAAATGAAGATGGGAAAGCTGTGACTGTTTATAGATGGTAATTCTGTTGGGAAAGTTAAGCAGGTTTGTAAGGCTTGAGAGTTTGGATGTATGTTAAAATAGGAGGCAGAGGGACATGCAGTGATCCTGAGCATTGTCTCCAAACTCGGATTCCTGTCATCTCAGCTGGAGTTAATGGGAAGGGAGCTGATGGGAATATGATTTAAGGAGTGTGCTGGCTGTGATGGCATGTCTTATTGTCCCCTTTCCTTCTTCCCTCCCACATGCATATGCCTGATAGAAATATTCAGCATCACCTATGCATCCCTGTGCACCCTATATTCTGCGTTCAACTTCTGCCAGGCAGCAGAAGAGCCTTAATGCACTTCAAGACATTTAATCTTCCTGAATAAACATCCTTGTCCTTACAGTTCATTCCTACAGCAAATACTTAAACACAACAGGAAACAGCTCATTTCAGGTACCTGACCAACCACATCTGGTCTTAACCTGATGCTCCGCTGCTACTGCTCCTGGAAATTGTTACCCATACAAGAGTATTTTAGCAAATGAGATTATTACTAGTGCTGCTGCTGAGTTGAAATAGTACCAGTTTTAATCGGTAACAGAAAATCCTCTGCTGAATTTGTTTTTGTGTGTGTGTCTAATTGTACATAAATGCATCTGGTGCTTCTTGGGGCATGGTGTCACCAGGGTGGTTTTGTATTTTCTTCCAGCCTCAAAGGCTAACCTCTTCCCACACACAAGTTTCAATGTCCTGTAAAAGGCATTTCCCCCTATTTGGCTTTTTTCAATCTATCAATTTTATTTCAGTTTCAACAGCCCGTTTTGAGAAAAATGCCTTCTAAAAACTGAGGACTGTTCTGTTTTATTCCAGCCTGCTTGGAAGGAAGTATATCATAGGGTAGTATCCACTGCAAGCTGATTAAATGTCTGTGTATCTCAAAAGAGACTTCAGTTATGAACTGTGGTGAGTTTGTGTTGGATGAATGCAAGAAAGCAATCATAACAATAACTATACTAGAAAGGTGTTAAAATGTTGATTTTTCTTTCATATCTCATGTGTGAGGGCCTCAGTCTGGTATGTTTCCAGAGTTGCATGTGTTTGTCCAAAGTACAGGTTTTGTACTTTCAAACAACATTTGCTGAAGAGCTGTTCCAGAGTGAGCTTATCTCTGCACTGTGAGGTGGTGCACCTTCCAGGAATGACAGTCCTTGAGGAGGTGATTTTTCACAACTGAAACAAAATAGGATACAATTATAAAATTCCCAGCACTGTTATTTTTACAGCAATTGCTTAGTAAGTCACACAAGTTGTAAGCCTATAAAGACCTGATGATGTGAGGGGTGATCCAGAGTGAGATCATGCTGAGATACTGATTCTTTACCATTAGAAAGGCAGCTTGATTGCAGCAGCATTCCTGTAGTCAGGTGGGCTGGGGAGGACAACAGAGGTTCCATCAGCCTTAGTTAAATGGCTTGAGGGGAAAAAAGAAGATGTAAACAATCAGAGTAAAGCTCTTTCTGGCACTCCCAACCTTTAGGGTTCTTAGGGAAGCATTTCTTTACTTGTGAATCCTGGCTCATGTTGCCTCCCAAGAATTAAATAAAAATCAATGGGAGAAAATGCTTTAAACCAAGTGCCAAAGTTATAAAAATATTAAAACATCTTTTTTTTTTTTTTTTCCACCTTGTCTTAATTATTGTTATAGTGTGACTCTTCAACCATCGTCTGTTTTGCACTATAGGAGAGGTCTCATTTAACAAAGGGTGACAAATAACCAGTAACAAAAATCTGAGAGGCTTTGAATGTTGTAGATAGGCACTGGCTGCAGAAGCACAGCCTTTATCCCATGAAGCTTTACTTTACAGGCAAGGTGAGTGGTAAGGGCAAGCATGAATTCAAAGTACCAGTTGTGTGAACATAGTAAGATACCAGAAGTTCAGCTACACATAAGCATTTCTTGTTGCAAAGGGTAATAAAACTTCATCAGTATTGGGCAGAGAGACCTTTCTTATTTTCCTCTGGGCCAATCTCATGCTTGTTTGAATTTGCTAAAGTTTCGTGCGCTCTTATTTCCATCCCTTTTCCCTTTGCACCTTGAAGAGTTGCTGTTGACTGCCCTGTATTTCATTTTCATCCCTTCTGCTTTCTTACCCTCCATTTTCTCCCCTTTCCTTAACAATTTTTTTGGTCATCATGTTTCTTGTCCTCCCTGTTGGCTTCTTAGTTGATAATCAGAAGAAATGCTCTTCCATAGGAGCACCTTTTTAGTGGTTTAGTGCTAGGCCATGTAGCTTAGTGTCAGGATTTAACGGACAATGTCAGCAATAGCACGAAAAGAGCTTGCCAGCCCAGACATAAATGTATCTTACTGTAGTTTATAGTAGCTCTTGTTACAGAAGTGAAGCAAGCAAAAGCAGATGCCTTTCAAATAGCTTCATCTCGATATTTTAATGCACTGATCGTGGAAGAAGCAGATGCAGGATTACTTGGTACTGTTGTTCATAACGTTGCTCTCCTCTATTGCTATGCTCCTTTCTCCTCGCTGGGTTCTCTTCACAGTAGCAAATGTTCATGCAATACGTAAAAAGACTGCCAGGGGATGAAAGAAGATCCTGGGCAGATGGCATTATCGTGCAATAAGAAGGAGTAACAGCAGCTGGAGTAAGTTCCTAACTAAGAAAACACTTTATGAGACACAACTGGGAACTCCTTCGGAAAAGCACAGAAAGAAGCAGAAACTAGTTGACTTTTTAGCCAAAGGAACACATTTTGCAATCAGAAAGATAGATACCTTAGATAGCAAAAATCAGTTCTGCCACAGCACTCTACTCTGGGCGGAGAGGTGGTAAAAGGGTTTCAACAGTGTTGAAAGAAAACTGATAAAGTAGCAAAGTAGTGTTTATGCAAGAACAGGGAGGTGCAATTCATGTTTAGAGGAGACTGTTGAAGGGCAAAGGGTGAGAGAAGGCAGTGAGTTTATGGGGCTATGGGTCTGCATCTCTGACACCTTTGCTCACTCTCTGCTCCTCTGCAGGAAGGAGCCTTCCTCTCCCCATCAGCCCCTGCGTGCTTTCCTTTGCCTCCCAGGCAGGGAGGGTGGGAAGGGAAAGTAAAAGGACAAGGATCAGGCTCCGATGGGAGCAGGTTGGGCAGAAGCCAGCACGGTTGGGCTTCCGCCTGGTTCTGGGGGTGACGGGGGGGGGGGGAAAGAGGGCAGGACGCTGTCTACTGGTGTTTTAAAGCTGGGATGGAGCTGCCTTTGTGTCCCACTCCCCAGAGTAATCTTTCTTTTTGGCAGCAGTGAGCATTTCAGACTGGAACAGCCTGTTCTATGTCCCGAGGCCAGGCACACGGGGTGAGCCTTCAGCACCCTGCAGGCAGCTGCCTCTCGGCCTCTGCTGCTCCAGAAAACGGGTTTGTGCTCTTTGACCTATTGGAACTGTTTTAGCTTTGGTTGGGGTTTTTTAGGGGGTTGGGGGTTTTTGTAGTATTCTTTTTAGTATGCTACAGAGACAGTAGAAAAAGCACATGGAAAAAGCCTCTCTGCTATCCTTGCATTTTCCACTATACTGAGTGCCAAGATCTCTTTATAGGGATTGGACAGGCCTTCCCTGATGACAGCTATAGGAAATTATGCATGCCAATGGCAGTCCCTTGGGAACTTCCCTCTGCAAGTTTTGCTCAGCCCTCACAGCACTGAAGATACATACACATAAAAGAATCTTCTTTTTCCTAGTTTGTGATGCATTTCACAGTATCTTGGATGTAATTCGCTGATGAACACAAGAATTCTTTCATAAGCAAACAGCAGCATGAAGTGCTTTTTCTAAGAGCCTGCTTTTTAAAAGAATGAACAAAATGCATTTGAAAGTTTTTTCTCTTTTCAAATGATTTCCAGTGTCTTTTTAGAGTCATTTCAAATGGGAATTAAGTACTTTAAAGGAGATCCTAAATGCAGATGAAAATAAACCCAACAAACCCAACCAACAGTGTTGTAATCAAAGCATTTATGCTATGAAGGATTGATTTGTCACAGATCACACTGATGGCCGCTAGCAGTGCGTGAAGCACTTCAGCAGTCTGGTTCCACCATCTGCCACTTGCTTTGCTCACTTCATGTAGCTCTTTATTTTTCCTGCTAATGAACAGCTTGGAAAGCCCACTCTTGACTTGAGAAGAGCTCTGTATTGTTATGCTTGCCCCGAAACAGCCGTGCAGTACCATGTTAGAAGAGAGAACTACATGCCAAAAGTAATGAATGCCAAAGCCAGTTGCTTCTGTTCATGTACAAAAGTTAATAAAATCTTTTCATCCATAAACTGGAGAAACATGTAATGAACTATGGAACAACACTATGAGAGATCTTACACTGATACTAATGTAAATGCTAAGAGACTTTCCAGCACAATATTGTGTTACCATCTCAGCTGAAAATCAGCCTCTTGGTGAGGAGAAGAGCTTAATTTTGAAAGAGGAGCAAAGCCAGGCAATTCATCAGGACAACACAGGGCCAGTTACCTCTGGATCATCTCACTTCAGTCCACACTGGGCATTGCAGGCCAACAGGAGCATGTGCAGTTTTCTTTATAGGGTGCCTTGCAGATTTACCATGTCATCTGCAGAGCTGTCAGAAGTTTGTCCAGTTATTGCTGGTTTAAGTGACTGGTGATGGGTTCTGGGAGATGGGCTGCATTTTATTGAACCGATTTATTTTGTTTGAATTTTAAGGGAAAAACACTTTGGTGTGATTTTTGTTACTCATAGTTAACTTGGGCAACCACTTAGCTATATGATAAACACAGCTAAATTAGAGGCTAGCTAATAGTCTGTGCTTCTAAAAACTTTCAGCCTGCTGAGATACAACGAATTAAAAAGCTTTTAAGAGGTATCAGTGAAGAAAGTCTTAAAGTGCAAGTCTGCAGCTCAAGTAGGAAAGTTGGTATTTTCCTGCGAAGGTTTTAGAATACTGGAAAAAAATACTAGGAGGAAGTTTTCTACCATGAGGGTGGTGAGGCCCTGGCACAGGTTGCCCAGAGAAGCTGTGGCTGCCCCATCCCTAGCAGTGCTCAAGGCCAGGTTGGACGGGGCTTGGAGCAATCTGGTCTAGTAGAAGGTGTCCCTGCCCATGGCAGGGGGTTGAAACTTGATTCCAACTTGAACTCGCCAACAGAAGCAGGTATTCTTCATTGCGGCGCCGGGAGACACGGGGGATAGCTCCTCCTAACGTGTGTCCCCGTATTGCCATGCAGGCCATCCTTATATAGTCACTGGGCATATTACATCATTTTCCAAAAAGTTTCCGGCATGCATACAAAAATACGATGGTGGTCTTTAAGGGTCGTTTACTTTTCCCAACGAGCTTAATCAACATTACAGACATAGCAATCATCCTGCCCTTCTACTTATCAGTTAGTTTATCTGTGCCCACCTTGGAGTCTGCTAGTCCCAGATACTCCCCATCCCCAGGTCCTGTTTTTCTATTCTGCTTTTCTTACACCTTTTGTACTAAGGTCCTAAGGACCTGAAACTATGTCAACTACCTTCAAGCACCGCAGTTCTTTTCCATTACAAAGCCATCACACTTAACATTACTTAGAACTGATTACATTTTGTACTTTTGTGCCTCCTTGTCCCAGACTGCATGAGCTTTAAGTTCCTTCCAACCCAAACCATTCTGTGATTCTATGAAAACTGTCTAAGGAGGAAATGATCTCAATTATCATGAGACAAGGTAAGTTTAACTTGCCTGTTTGGCAACAAAAAGCTGCAATAGCTGTGTCTGTAAAGCATGAGCTAAGGGGTGCTTTCCATGCAGGGCAGGATTCTAAGTTTCTGTGGTGTGTTACCCGTGATACCCTTTCTCTCAGAACTTACTACATCACTACCACAAACGTGACCACCTTTCAGAGCATGTGATTCTTATTTGGGTCCTTGGAGCCACGGATAACACATCTACAAATAAAACATCTTTGCTCACCACACTAAGAATAGTGCTGAGAGATTCTTAACAGAATTCCATCCATCTACCCAACTCATTCCATGGAGCCAGACAGCGAGTATGTGACACACTGCAAGATTTTTAAGTCCACAGACATTTGATTACATTGAGATTTGATGACACTGCAATCGACAGCAACCACCACAACAAAGGAAGTCTGAGTCTTGTCACAGGGTATAGATAATGAAATATTTTATTGCCACTTATGCTCCCTGATCATGTAAAAGTAATCTAATCACAAAATGTCAGTTTATGATTACTTTTTCCATAGCGTTTCTCACAGCTTTGCAAATTTCTTATGAATAAATTTTGTGCCCTGCCTCTGATTTTCTGATAGTTTTGCAAAAGAAACTTATGTAGCAACATAGACACTCTGTATTCTCTTAATGTATTTAACTGATGCAAATGAGAGCCGTTACTCTCTTTTTCCTATTACATTGTCAATCATTGAGGAACAGGAATAAAGGAATAGGAAAGCTGTCACCTTTTAAAAATAGCAAAAGGTCTTAGTTGTAGTTGAGATTTTCTTCCAATTCAGTTTATTTCCCTGTATGTTCTGCAGTCATTGCTGTTTTTTTCTAAGGTGCTATAAATAAATTGTTCCTCCTTTCTCTTGAGGAGCCATAAATAAGTTACTGTAAAGTTATTGAGGGTATTTTTAATGTTCCACTTACAGCAGCTTTGTGAAGCAGGCCAGCATCCTTCTGACTTCACAGATAAAGGCACCTCAGCTCTCTTGGCTCTGCATCATCACATTCTTCATCAGTGTAACTGTTCCATCATTTTTAGACTTAGAAAAAGTGAAAACCAAGAAATGAGTTTTGCCAGGTCAGTCTTTGGCACATTTGACCGACACCCAGAAATAGAACCCTGACTTTGCTTACAGACACGATAGTCATCATCCCCCATCATGAGGACATTGTCTCCATTCTTTGCTTTAAAGCTGAACTCAGCTGGGAATCCCAGCAACACTGATCATTTGCCATCCTTTCACTGATCAATGTAGGAAAAGTGGCAGCTTCAGCAGTGGAAGACATAACTCCTTCCTCCCAGAGAGAAAACATGTTAATTCAGCAGCTCTTCCAGGACAAGAGCAATAGGCCATGGCTCAGATAGACATAAATACACATAAACACACCTACCAGCCTGTAAACTGCTCACATACAGCATTATGAACTGGCAAAGCGTGTAAGCAAAGGACTCCTACAGTGAAGGCCACCGCAGCACCTTTGTAATAACCATAACTTCATAAAGACATCTGGTCTGGTCTTGTAAAAATAAATGTAAATCCTGAAATAAAAAGCAAAGTCAAGCACAAACCCTAGGGCTCATTATCAAGATCTATTCTCAATTTCCCCCAGCATTATAAAAATCAAGAATTTAATGAATTAAAAATATTTTTCCACTCACAGTAGTAAATTTCCATTTGTGATCCATATGGACATATCTATCTTCTGTATCACAAAAGCCCCTATTAAAGAGATTATTCTACAGTTTCCTGTATACTGAATTAATGTATAGTGTATAACTGTATTACCTAACATGTATTATACAGCATATTGTATAAAACAATAGAAGTATATATTACATATTGTTATACATTTACTATTTAATACAGCCCTGTAGCAGTGCAGGTGCAGCTTCATATCTTAGCACCTAATGGTTGGGCTGTATGGAATTCCAGCATCACAAAACTATAGGCTGTGCCTTGGCAGTTTCTAAGTCAAAGAACTTAAAGTACTTAAATTGTACTTCAGGAGCTCTGACAGTTTTTCATTTCTACTATGTAAGTTCTGAGCTCAGATGTTTTCAGTGTCCAGGTCTTATAAATCAGAGCTGAGGTCAGCAGCACCAGCCATGTTCGCATTGGGGAGAGGAAGAATGCCAACATCCCATAGGTTCGCTGCAGGAAATAGCAAGAATAGACCTGCCAGGCCAGGAGGAGTGTCATTGCCACGTGGACAAGCACAGCCATGATGTGTCGGGCCTGACGGATGTGAGAACAGAAACTGTGACCCTGGCATCGCAGCAACAGGCACCAGCACAGATAGGCCATCAATGGCAGGTTGAAAAACAACATCTGAAAGGAAAAGCAGAATAAAATACGATGAGGAAGCCAAGTGTTCTGCATAACATCCATGAGGACATAGGAAGATAAAGAGTATAACTGTCCCATTCTAAAAGCTGAGTACAGTTCCCAGAGCTGGAATCTCAGGATGCACTTTCAACACTGCAGCTGATAGAGCTGTAGCTGCCTGTGTCTCAGTCCAGGCCAAGCATTCCTGACCTCTCCCTTGCTGTGGGAGGTGCTGACATGAATCTGACCTTTCCTGGAGCTGGTTCAGGGAGCTACACATGGCAAAATACTAGCACAGTAAAAACGGAAAGTCCTTATGTCAGTTTAGCCCTGTGACCCAGCCCACTGTAGTGTCAGAAAAGCATTAGCACTGGCGTAAGGGAGGGACCATGGAGGAGGCAACACAAGCTCAGTCTGGTTTAAATGCCAAGGAACTACACACCCTCTCAGACTAATGGCAGCTGGGAAAACCAGAGGGCAGGCAGGTCAGACTGCTGGGAAAACTAGACTTGTGTGTACTTGGAGAGTGACACCTACTGATCTTCATCCGGCAAGGGCTGCCCTGGTCATTAAGTTTCTTTGGCTTAATCACTGTGACTTGTGTGAGCCAAGGACAAAAAATGTGGAGTAGTAAATCTGTAGAGATGGTCTCTAATGCAGACATGCAGTGAGCCCAAAGCAACATCAAACAGCGCAAAAGGGAAGCCTGAGACAATAATGCACGGTCTCCTTCCCTTCTGCCCTTAACATTTGCAGAAAGTTAAGAACGAGCTGTTGTAGTCAGGCATGGCCACTAATCTGCTCTATCCTTCCAAGACTCCTTTCTTTCTGAAACTATTAAAAAAAGTAACAGGAAAAAAGATTCTCAGAAAAAAAGCAGTTTGTCAGCTTAATTTGGATAAATATGTACCTGTAAAATCCCAGCCACGAATGTCAGACTGCCCTGTAAGAAGGAACCACCAACAAAGACCCCAAAGGAAAAGCAGGCCCCCACGTGGCCATCTATCAGTTCACCTACAAACCATGGTCCTGGAAGAGAGGAAACCACACAGCACCATCAGTATAGACATGGCATTTCCCACATAGCCCTTTGTATTCCTGAGCACCAAGTGGTCAGCCGGGGAAAATGACTTCTCTATCGCTTGTCTGCAGTAATAAGCCTGATGTTTTCACCTTCAGCAAACAGCAATCTGATGAACATTCCCAATGTGAAAATATCACCGTACACCAATGATTTGTGGCACGCAATGAAAATACTTTTAAGTTGGTTTCATCTCTGTGACCATTTTCAACACCACAGACAACATTTTCCTTATGAGAGAAGTGAAAAGATTAGTTCTATCAAACACTGGCCTTTCCCCAGAATTACAGCAAGTCATAAACAATTCCAGCTTGGCTTAGCTCAGAAGTCAATATCGACAGGCTGCACTGTTATGCACCCTACGCTGGCTGCCAAAAAAGTAGCTATTTTAGTAATATATCAGCAGAGGAGAAATGAACTAAGATTGTTAGCATGGGAGCCCAGATGTCTTAAGTGACATGTCCTGTGAAATGTACATTCCAAGTACTTATTTTACACCCAGATACAACCAGATCTTACTCAAAGAGTAAGTGAAAACCCAATTAAATTTAAAGACACTCAAATTATTAATTACTCTGAAAGTAAAGTGAGCATTTAATTCTAGGGCTCCAAATTAGGCTCTTCAAATAAACCTTTAGTCTCTTTGGATGATTACTTTTCAAGTTCCACATAGATTTTGTAACTTATATTTTCCCTATTCTCTGTGATGTTAGAAGTCTCATTTTTCATCAGCATCTGATGTGTAATTTAAAAACAGTAATTTAAATCCTCCCATACTCTAGGTTACTTACCCAGAATGGTGTATAAATTCAGAACCAGAATTGAGTAATAGAGGGTGTTTATTTTACTGAAGACATGGAGGGAATACGAGGTCAGAGTAAGTAATCCTGGCTTTTCTAAAGAGAGACAGCATTTAAGAACATACACTTGATTCAGGTTGCAACACATGCACATATAAAAATAGATATATTTGTCTTTGTGAAACAAATCTGTACATTATTTACTCATTCTATTAAATGTAAAATTAATATTTGGTATGTCAAGAGAACAGATGCAAAGGAATGTATTTCTACTATTACTGTGATAACTGAAAGCAAGGAACTGATAAATATAACAATCTATGTTTAAAACAACAGAAGCAGCTGCCATTCTAAATGAGTACACTTACTGTATGTAAATAAAACTGAACGACCATTCTATACCCAGAAAATGAAGTTAGCTAGAACGAAAAACATGGAGAAAATTAAATGAAAAGTAAATCCAAACAGTAGCTAGGCAAACCCAAAAAGGCAGCTCAGCATGGGCTAGATTAATTGGATTTTCTTTGATTAAATCTACTTAGTGAGATCTGATAGCAACTCAGATAAAATGAAGGCTAGGTGTTGAAATGGCAGCATTCTGACAAGTGTGTGAACAAATAAAACACACAAATCAAAAGCAATATTCATTTTCCAACTGAAGCATACCACAGGCTGAGATGAAGAGAGGCTTCCTAACAAAGTTAGCTTTTAGAGTTTCACCTATTAAATGGCTGCCCTTCTCACAAAGCATTAACTCCCAGAAGGCAAGCTTGATCTTTGGAAATCAACAGCTCTAACAAAGTTGTTCACTAATGGGTAAAGCATTTGTCATGTCTACAGGGACCTGGCCGATCACAGAGTGCTAGCTCTTTTCATTTTTAGCTGCTGAATTCCATAAAGGCAACTGCAGTTCTATTCTTCCTTTATGTAAGCAGCAGCTGTAGTTACCTCAGGATGCTATGTGATTAGGAGTATAAAGGAAGGGACATACACTGACATGAATAGGAAGGGAGGTGGCTTCCAGGAAAATCTCATTAGTAAGGTGTGGTTCAAACAACTGTTTAAAGGATAAACACCACAAGCTTAACAGCATTAATTTTCATTTACCAGATTTATCACAAACTGAATTCCAAGTTATGACAGAACTGGTCTTAATATTATTCTGAGAAAGACCCAAGCCTGTTCATGTTCCTTGCAAAGATTAACAAGAATGATTTTGTAGAAGGAAGTGCTTCTTCACTCAGGTGACACAGAATTCTATGTCAGCTGCAATGAAACAAGCACACTTGCAGAACTAATATAAAATAAAATATTCCTATTCCTTTACACTGGATTCTTCAGTGAGAAAATTAAAATGTTTTCACTTCAATTATTTGAATTTCTGTTTAAACAAAGATATCTGATCAAGTTTTTAGTTTTTAAGTTACTTTATTTGATATATCGGAAGTTTTCTGGGTCCCCCTAAAAGCAAAACAGCAGCTTCTGAGAACCCAGTCAAAGCACCAGATGCAAAATGCAAAATGCATATGGGTATTAACAGTGCAACTACTTAGGTTTTGGGAAAAGTAGATCCTATAAAAACCACAAACACTGGTTCATACCTTTGAGTGCTGGCTTTTGGAGATACCTGAAAATAATGAGCAAGGTGATCTGAATCAGCACGATCAGTCCAAAGAGCACACGAGCCTGAAATGACAGGTTTGACTCTAAGCAAGCCCCAGAGAAGTCACTGCCTTTGAGCACTGACAGAATGATACAAAGATTTCTAACTGGAACACATGTTCAAAGCTTGATGGTGTCATTGAAGAGTAAAAAGAAGTTTCTAAGTTACTGGACTTGCATCTTACTGACTTGAATTCAGTTGGATGGCTGCGATTGAGCTGAATCTTTAAAAAATGGGGTTTGTAAAACACATCCATTGAAAAAGTGTAAATACACTTCTTACGCGAAACACGTTCTAAGTGCTGTACTGCACAGAACTGCAGTTCAAGACATTGTGGACAAGATCACTTACTGATTAATGAAACTAACATCATAATTTTGAGCTGATGATGATACTGTCTACAGTCATGTGGACTTTCCTACATTGTTCTGTAAGTGCACCTGAACTATCATGACATGCCTTCTTTGCATGTACTAACCTGTAACACTTCTTTACCCGTTTCTAGTGATACATGTGGGAACTAGGGATATAGATAGTAGTAGCCTGGGGAACATAAAGAAGGACTACAGAGCCCTGGGAAAGGTGGTTAGGGGCTCTGGAGCTCGGATAGTCTTTTTATCAATTCTCCAGGATACAGGGGAGGAACCTAAAAAAAGCTAGGAGGATTAGCAAGGTTAATAAATGGTTAAAAGGGTGGTGTTTGGGTGTCTTGAACACAGGACCCAAGTTCGTAGGCCAGGTCTAGTGGGGGCTGGTGGAGCTGGTCTGATAAAGAAGGGAAAGAGCAGTTTTGGTAGGAGGCTTGCCAGACTGGTCAAGGAGGCTTTAAACTAGATGTGCTGGGGGAGGGGGGCATCATTCCATCCCAACACACCCAGTCAGTTGCCAGAACCTATAATAAATGCTCAGAGCAATGTAGAGATATCCCAGCTGCTCCAGCCAACGAGCCGGCTTCATTTGGAGCTCAGCTCAGATGCCTCTATACAAATGCCCGTAGGATGGGGAACAAACAAGAGGAATTAGAGACGTGTGCACCTCTACGGGGGTATGATATAATAGACATCGCAGAAATATGGTGGGATGGCTCCTATGACTGGAGTGTTGGAATGGAAGGTTACAGGCTCTTTAGAAAAGAGAGGCCCAGCAGGCAGGGAGGGGGAGTTGTCCTTTATGTTAGGGATAGGCTGGAGAGTATGGAACTCTGTCTGGAGACAGGTGAGCAGTTAACAGAGAGTTTGTGGGGCAGGGTTAAAGGGAAAACAGCGAGAGGAGACATTACTGTGGGGATCTGTTACAGACCTTTTGCCCAGGGAGGGCAGGTTGCCCAGGGAGGTTATAAATGCTCCATCCCTGGCAGTGTTCAAGGCCAGGTTGGACAAAGCCTTGAATGATATGGTTTAGTGTGAGGTGTCCCTGCCCATGGCAGGGGTGTTGGAACTGGATGATCTTAAGGTCCTTTCCAACCCCAACTATTCTATGATTCTATATGACCTGGAATTTATGGAAGTCAATGGGAATTTTGCCTTCCTCTTTGCTAGAGCTACCTATAACAGCAGCAGCTAATAGGAGACTTTTCAGTCTTGCCAGTACACACATTGCAAGAGATCACAGTGAAGGTTTCTTTAATATTTTCCTTTTCTACTGTTTCCAGGAGATTCTTTTCTTCCTCTTGCTTACACAAAATGTGCATATCCCTATGTCCCAGATTGGACAATTGTGATTAAATCCATGGAGTTAACTGTTTGCATGAACCCCTGCTGCACATTCATGTTTGAAGTGTGCAACTTGAGAAAGGAAACTTGAAATATTTGTGAAATTCCAATGGAGTCATATCTGGAAAAAGCAAAGTGCATTCAAGTCCACCAGGAATTAGCAAAATACTGCAGTCTCTGGGGAAACCAACCCGGAATGAAAGTTGTTTGCTGAAAGCACTTACTAGAACATAGTGGTCAGTGAGAAGAATAACAGATGGCCAAAAATCAAACCTAAGAGAGAGGGTTTCTTCCATAGCAAATATATGACTCCGTGTACTAATTCTACCTGAAGCATCCTAGAGTGAAAGAAGAGAGAAATTAGAGACCAGTAGGGCACAAACTATCCTGTTAAAGCTGCTAATTATCATTGGAGATTTTCTGGGAAGATCCAATTGACGCATGCATATCAGGCATACTGCTATATTAAATAGTTCTATCTACAAAGAATTACTTACTGTCAGTTTTGTAGTTCCAAGTAAACTGGTGACCGTAAGATCATAATCTCGAAGTGCTACATATGAATAAGAACCTCTCAGAGATTCAGCAACTTGTGGAAGACAGTGACTATTTATTGGCACCACCACCACTGGTTTTCTGAAAGCTCAATTCTGGATAATAGCCCATCTTAAACTATTTTAAAAGCTTTGTTGTGCTGATTTTCTGGCATATTTGCTAGAAACTGATATTAATAAACAATAACAGTGCTACCTTTATTTAACAGTTTGATATTTCTGCATGTGTAACACTGACAGCTGTGGTGGGTTGACCATGGTTGGATGCCACATGCCCACTGAAGATGCTCTATCACTCACCTCCTCAGCTAGACAGGGGAGAGAAAGTACCATAAAATGCTTGTGGGTCGAGATAAGGACAGGGACAGATCACTCACCAACTACCATCATAGACAAATCAGACTCAACTTGTGGAAATCAGTTTCATTTATTACTAATCCAATCAGAGTAGGATCATGAGAAATAAAAACAAATCGTAAAAACACCTTCCCCCTACTCCTCCTTTCTTCCTAGGCTTAACTTTACTCTCAAATTCTCTACCTCCTCCCCACCCAGCAGCCAGCAGCACTGCTGTTGTGCAGTAACTTTCCTGCCTTCTTAAGTACGTTGTCCTAGAGCCACTACCAGTATTGCTGATGGCCTTGGCCAGTTATGAGTCTGTCCTGGAGCTGGCTGGCACTGGCACTATTGCACATAGGGGAAGCTTCTGGCAGCTCCTCACAGAAGCCACTCCTGTAGTCGCCCTGCTATCAAAACCTTGCCATGCAAACCAATACAACACCTTATCTTCCAGTACCTAATAAAAGGTTTATTTATAGTAGAGGATTCAGTGTGTTTAGTGTGATTACAGCTGAGGCAATATTTGGACAATCCAAGGAACAATGTACAATTAAGCAGTCATATTTTCTCTAGGTACCTAATTCAAGTTAATGCTTCATCCTCCTTGCTTTCCAAAAACTATTTGGTTACTAGATGTAATAGTGATTTATGACTGGAGGGGAAAGGAAATTAATTTTTTAAAAATCCCATTCAGTTACCTGACAACCAGCATGTATTTGCAAGCAACTGTTGCTATGCAGGCCTTTATAACCCTCTTCAAATGTTACTCAGTTTTGTGCATGTTTTCATCATCATTAAAAAAACCCAAAAGACCCCAGAAAATAAACCGCTTATAAAATGTAGCTTTTGCAGATAAAGCACCACAGAAATCAGTAACAAGCTGGGAGGTGGAACACTGACAGTACAGAAAGGCCTTTAGGAAGAAAACGCTTGCTTTCCTGTGAGAAGGAATACCAAGCTGGGGTCCACCAAGCAGGACAAAGCTGACTTTCCCATTGCTATTGTGCAAATGGACAGAATGTTAGAATAGTCTGATTAAGTTCTTCAAGACCACTTGAAGGTACAAAAATAAAATACAGTACTGAGAACAGAAGCATTCACTGAAAAAACCTATTTTGCACCCAGTAATCTAACATCAGCTAAACTTGATGTTCGAGGAAATAGAAGCTGTATTAGCTGTCAGCCTGTAAGAAGTAATAAAAAGAAATTCAAACAGATAATCAAAGACAGCATTCCAATCTTACAGATCCAGCTCCTTAGCCTTCTGAACTAACATGAGGCTACTTCTTATTTTCCTTGATCGAGCTCAATTGTTTCTTTTTCTAAGACAACCTTAAAAGTTAATTTTGCCTGTTACCCAAAATAATTTATTTTTGACCAATTACTTGCTTTTCTATCATGTCTTACTATATTTCTGATGAAAAATAAGAATTATTTCTTTTGTCCAGATGCTTTATGTATGGTTTTGTGGTCAGCAGTGTTTTTTCATTTAATAAATCCTTTCATTTTTGTAATCAGACAAACCTGAAAGGAAGTCTGTCTCATGTATTTCATCCCTATTTATGTGATGCAGAAGGGTGATGGAGCAGACATGACAACATAAAAAATTTAGTACAAAGAATGCCAACAGCTTACCTGGACAGTCACATCTATGTGATGGAACCCTTCACTGTAGTTCTGCGGGCTCCACTTTAGTACATAGAGAGGCCCAGATACCTGATGTGCATTCCCCAAGTAAACTCCATCTATATAAACTTCGATGGAGGTAATGACAGAAGGAGAGAAGGCCAGAATTCTAAGGGGTGAATAAACATCAAAATAAACAGATTTGTTACCGGATTTACAGATTTGTCCTTACTTCCTGAAGAGAAGTCCCTAAAGTGTTGAACTCTTCTACTTCAGAGTTCAAAAGAGTTAGAAATTAAACTGATGAAACATCTGTAAGGCTAATGGTAACATGGTAGTTCTTTCCTACAGTTAGAAAGTTTTGTATTGTATTGTGCAAAAGGATAGGATAGAAAACTGGGCTGTGGAACAGACAAAAAGTGGCAGACATCTCCAGGTCCTAGCACAAATGATCTTAGAACTCTTGCCACTGTTAAAACATTTGCTATCACAAATCCTCCTGCACACATACAGACACATAACCAAATATTGTAGAGGTCTTCAATAAAAATTGCCAGTCTCTCTCTCTAAAGGTCTTTGTTCTTGGATATATTTGTTCCCCTCCCTCTTATTTTTCTTTTCCTTTTTGCTAGTCAGAATATAACCTCTTGGTCTTTGTAACTGAATTTATGAGAAATGGAGTGGAACACAAGACAAGTAATACAGATTTGAAATACCAACAAATGGATATCACTTGGAAGTGCTCATATTGAGAGAAACAGTGATACTAATATAGATTCAATACATTGCACATACAATTTCTTTCATTTCTGGCAATACAAAAGGCATTCCAGACCATGTTTCAGTCAAATGACAGCATCTCACATAGTTATGGTGAATGATTCTACAGTTCATCTATTTAGTATAAGAATGTTCAGATAAGGTTCTAAATAAGAAACTGGAAAGTAGGTAGGCTGCTTCCTAACTGAAAAGTATGGCTAACTTCCTTTGCTTGTAATACTTCGTATGTAATATACTGATATATTTCATGCGTATTAGTCTAACAGCAAATATAAGATGTTGTAAAGGGCATAGAAATTTGAAAAACAAATTTAAAAAAAAATAGAAAAGGTAAAAATGGGGAGATAGAGAGACTTAAGCCCAATATGAAAATTGGCAGAGCCATAAGCTGTTTTAATATATAAAGGATGTAAAACTGAAATCACAAGAGACTAAGAAGTCCAATGCAAATAGAGAAAACACTTGGAAAAATACATACAAAATCTCCAAATCAATGGAAGCAACATGACCACGTAAGATAAATAACACAAATTATGTGTTAATCTAACTCTACCAGCTTTGGTTACACAAATAAGTTCAACTGACTTCAAGGGAAATAACTGCATAAATAAAATGAACATGAACTTGTTCTATGTAATCTCCTTTTATCACAGATATGATACAAACTGAGCTCTTAGGAACAATCTTCCAGAGAAAACTGAATTCTGAGAACGATGGACATACACATTTTAAAAAAAGGGTTTATGTATACACATATATAGATGTACATTATAACCAAAAATGACTATCATAATATTGTTAAATATTGTAAAAATCAGGAGAATACAGGGTACCTGATATGAGTGGAATAAAGAATTTTGTCTAGTGGTTCATGAGCAGAACTGCTGTAAAGGAAGGATTTGGGATTGGTGATGAGGACTGCAGGCCATTCTTCAAAGGTAAGATCTGCAAAGCTCAGGAGGTCATGATCAAATGCAAGGATCCGGTACCTATAATGAAAGGAAAAAAAATTTATTAATACAAACTACTGCATGCCCAGCTGATTCCCATGCTTCCCAAGGTCCAAAACAGAACTTGTTTCTTTTACTTTGCATTTATTCTCTTCTGTAGCTGATCCTATCTTAACCAATTCTCCTGTATTAACTGTACAGATGGTTACCTCTGATCAGCTTCATTTTTTTTATAAGTCACTCAAGCAATACACAAAATTCCAAACCAAAATCTATTGACTTTTGCATATGAATCAGATAAATGAACGTTATAGAATTCAAATAAAAGGTACATTACTACAGTGTCTGAGTAGGTACTCTAGTTACAGACATAGACCTCAGTGTGCTCTCTTCCTATAAGCATACAAGTATCTATTGAGATTACTGCAGGATAAAAGCTAATATACAAGCTAATATACTATTATACATTTCATGTAGCATCAGACACTTTTTGATACACTGCTAAGGTAATATTTCCTAGGTAGACTGTTTTTGTCTCTAAATTTCTAACAGCTGGGGCAAAACATGGATATTTTGAAGTAGTGATGCTGAATTTTATTACAATTTATTACAATTTGTCTATTTGAATACTAAATGAATCCTAAATGGACTTTGAGATGTCTTCTTTTTAATTTCTAAATAGGCCAATTGATTATATGATTCTGTATCAAGAATTAATATAAAAATTACTCTACTCAATTTATTAGCTCACTGTTGGTATAGAGGAAAAAAATCCCAAAGTTATACATAGAGAAATTTTTCAAACATACCAATAGTAATAACAAGTTACAGAATCATAGAATAGTTAGGGCTGGAAAGGACCTTAAGATCATCTAGTTCCACCACCCCTGCCATGGGCAGGGACACCTTACAGTAAACCGTATCACCCAAGGCTCTGTCCAACCTGGCCTTGAACACCATCAGGGATGGAGCATTCACAGCCTCACTGGGCAACCTATTCCAGTGCCTCACCACCCTAACAGGAAAAGAATTTCCTCCTAATATCCAATCTAAACTTCGCCTGTTTAAGTTTTAACCCATTACCCCTTGTCCTGTCACTACAGTCTCTAATGAAGAGCCCCTCGCCAGCATCCTTATGGGCCTCCTTCAGATACTGGAAGGCTGCTATGAGGTCTCCACGCAGCCTTCTCTTCTCCAGGCTGAACAGCCCCAACTTCCTCAGCCTGTCTTCATACAGGAGGTGCTCCAGTCCCCTGATCATCCTTGTGGCCCTCCTCTGGACTTGTTCCAACAGTTCCATGTCCTTTTTATGTTGAGGACACCAGAACTGCACACAATACTCCAAGTGAGGTCTCAGGAGAGCACAGTAAAGGGGCAGGATCACCTCCTTCAACCTGCTGGTCACGCTCCTTTTGATGCAGCCCAGGATACGGTTGGCTTTCTGGGCTGCAAGCGCACACTGAAGCCGGCTCATATTCATTTTCTCATCGACCAACACCCCCAAGTCCTTCTCTGCACAGCTGCTCTGAATCTCTTCTCTGCCCAGCCTGTACCTGTGCCTGGGATTGCTCCGACCCAGGTGTAGGACCTTGCACTTGGCATGGTTAAGCTTCATGAGGTTGGCATCAGCCCACCTCCCAAGTGTGTCAAGGTCCCTCTGGATGTCATTCTTTCCCTCCAGGGTATCAACTGAACCACACAGCTTGGTGTCATCGGCAAACTTGCTGAGGGCGCACTCAATCCCACTGTCCACGTCAGTGACGAAGATGTTGAACAAGACCGGTCCCAGCACTGATCCCTGAGGGACGCCACTCGTTACTTGTTTCCAGCCGGACATTGAGCCATTGACCACAACTCTTTGTGTGCGGACATCCAGCCAGTTCTTTATTCACCGAGTGGTCCATCCATCAAATTGATGTCTCTCCAATTTAGAGACAAGGATGTCTTGTGGGACAGTCTCGAACACTTTGCAGAAGTCCAGGTAGATGACATCAACTGCTCTACCCCTGTCCATCAGTTCTGTAGCCCCATCATAGAAGGCCACCAAATTGGTCAGGCAGGATTTCCCCTCAGTGAAGCCATGCTGGCTGTCACCAAGCACCTTGTTGATTTTCATGTGCCTTAGCATGCCTTCCAGGAGAATCTGCTCCAAGATTTTGCCAGGCACAGAGGTGAGACTGACTGGTCTGTAATTCCCCGGGTCATCCATTTTCCCCTTCTTGAAAATGGGGGTTATATTTCCCTTTTTCCAGTCATTGGGAACTTCACCTGACTGCCATGATTTTTCAAATATGATGGCCAGCAGCTTCGCAACTTCATTTGCCAGCTCCTTCAGGACCCACGGATGGATTTCATCAGGTCCCATGGACTTGTGCACGTTCAGATTTTTAAGATGGTCTCGAACCAGATCCTCTCCTACAGTGGGCACAAGGTCTTCATTCTCACAGTCCCTGCGTCTGCCTTCCAAGACTTGGGTGGTTTGGTCAGAGCCTTTGCAAGTGAAGACCGAGGCAAAGAAGTCATTCAGAACCTCAGCCTTCTCCAAATCCTGTGTAGCCAGTTCTCCTGAGAGCTTCCTGAGGGGGCCTACATTGTCCCTAGTCTGTTTTTTATTTGCTACATACCTGTAGAATCCCTTCCTGTTATCCTTAATATCGCTAGCCAAGTTTAATTCTTACTGGGCCATAGCTTTCCTAACCAGGTCCCTAGCTTCTTGGACAACATCCCTGTACTCTTCCCATGCCACCTGTCCTTGCTTCCAGTTATTATATGCCTCTTTTTTCCATTGAATTTTCCTCAGCAGCTCCTTATCCATCCAAGGAGGTCTCCTGGCCCTCCTGCTGCACTTCCTTCTGGTTTGGATGCAACCCTCCTCAGCTTGTAGCAGGTAATCCTTGAATATTAACCAAGAGTCTTGGGCCCCCCTGCCCTCTAGGGCTATATCCCATGCAACCTTACTAAGCAGGTTCCTGAAGAGGCCAAAGTCCGCTCTCTTGAAGTCCAGGGCAGTGAGGTTGCTGCATGCTCTTCTCACTGTCCTGAGGATCTCAAACTCGACCATCTCGTGATCGCTGCATCCAAGGCTCCCCTGGAGAGTCACATTTCCAACGAGCCCTTCCCTGTTGGTGAGCACAAGGTCAAGCACGGCACCTCTCCTTATCGGCTCCTCTATTACTTGCAGAAGGAAGTTGTCTCCCACACAATCGAGGAACCTCCTGGATTGCTTGTGCCGGGCCGTACCATCCTTCCAACAGATGTCAGGGTGGTTGAAGTCACCCATGAGAACAAGGGCCTGTGAGCGTGAGGCTTTTCCTATCTGTCTATGGAGTGCTTCAACTGCAGGTTCTCCTTGATCAGGCAGTCTGTAACAGATCCCCTCAGTAATGTCTCCTCTCGCTGTTTTCCCTTTAACCCTGCCCCACAAACTCTCTGTTAACTGCTCACCTGTCCCCAGACAGAGTTCCATACTCTCCAGCCTATCCCTAACATAAAGGACAACTCCCCCTCCCCGCCTGCCGGGCCTGTCTTTTCTGAAAAGCCTTTAACCTTCCATTCCAACACTCCAGCCATAGGAGCCATCCCACCATGTTTCTGTGATGCCTATTATATCATACCCCAGTAGATGTGCACACATCTCTAATTCCTCTTGTTTGTTCCCCATCCTACGGGCATTTGTATAGAGGCATCTGAGCTGAGCTCCAAATGAAGCCGGCTCATTGGCTGGAGCAGCTGGGATATCTCTACATTGCTCTGAGCATTTATTATAGGTTCTGGCAACTGACTGGGTGTGTTGGGATGGAATGATGCCCCCCTCCCCCAACACATCTAGTTTAAAGCCTCCTTGACCAGTCTGGCAAGCCTCCTACCAAAAATACTCTTTCCCTTCATCAGACCAGCTCCACCAGCCCCCACTAGACCTGGCCTACAAACTTGGGTCCTGTGTTCAAGACACCCAAACCCCTGCCTATGACACCACCCTTTTAACCATTTATTAACCTTGCTAATCCTCCTAGCTTTTTTTAGGTCCTCCCCTGTATCCTGGAGAATTGACAAAAAGACTATCTGTCCGGCAGATCTAATGCTTCTTGCAAGCTCTTCAAACAGCATAACAGGGAATCACAGCATAACCAGTAGGCTCCATATGACAATTTGCTCACTTAGGGTTTACTTACCTTCTATTATCCATCCAGTCTCCCAGTTCAAGTTCCAGAGTGCCACCACGGTGCTGACTATGCAAGACTGGCATCAGCCCACCCAGTGTATGGAGATGTCCACATAAATAGGCTGTGGCAGAACTAATAAAAGAACATAAGAATTGTGATTATTTTGCTAAGAAGAAAATACCACTGCAGAAAACCTGAAGAGTGACAGACAAGGATGTGAAGAGGGGCAAGAAATGTACTGCAGACTGAAAACATACAGGAATAAAAGAAAGCTCTTACCTCATCAATGCTCGTATTCCTGGGGCTGGGGAGATGATTGTTGAGGTGGGAAAATGACCAAACCAGACAGTATGATTGCTGCGCAGACTTTGTGTTGCCATCAAAGATAGTTCTTTCATTTGATTCTGAAACGGGCAGGTGTTTGAAAGACAACCAAACAAAGCTGCTTAATGCTAGGCTACTTGGAAAGAACAGCAAAACAAAAGCAGAAAGACACCAATGAAGAGAATAGTCTCAGTTGCTTCCAGGACCTGGGAATGACCAAAATGTATTACTAGACCTATCCCTAAAACCCAGTGCTGGAAAAATAAAGCAAAAACAAGACACTCAACACCTTCCTTGCAAGTGAACATAGGAAAAGTACAACATAAAGAAGTACTTTGTAAATGATATTTCTATCTGTTCTGCTGCTTATTTATATAGTCAATGACAACACACTTGAGTTGACTTTACAAACATCTTTACCTTATAGTTATCATCCATATTATCTCTTAAGTTGTTAGACAGCCTTTATAGGCATGACAGGCCACAAACTGTGCACCATATGCTTCAGGCATTTAACTGGATGAATTATGACACTGAATCTTGAAAATATTACTCAGCCATTGCTGTTAAAGTTCAGCAAAACTAACACTATACACAGCAGGTAAAATTCATCTCCTTTACTTGTCTGACTTCCAATATTAAATAAGCCACTCACTGTCCAGACAGAATCCCAATACTAATAGGATCTCAAAGTCTAACAGAGTAGGCAGGAAAACTAAAACCAGAAAAGAACTTAAATCCACTCTTCCACCATTTTGCAGATCATCTTTTAGGGTAATGCAGAGAACCACCAACATATTCTTTTCCCTCCTACCTGAAAAGAAACACTGAAGGGCACGAACAAAGCAAACAGAAATAAAAGTATATTCAAAAAGAATTAATCCAGAACACCATTCTGGGTTAATGTAATGGGCTTATCAAGTGAAATGATTCTTCATTTGCCTTTATGAATTTGGGCTTTAAGAATATTTTTATCTAGGCTATGCAATCAAATTACTAACACAAATCTAATTTATTTTTCAAATTTCTGGCAGAGATTTAAATCTTACAGGTATCCACCTTCAGTTTTGTGCAAAAATCTGCAAATGATGTTCCCTAGACTCTTGCTACTAATAGCAAGCAAATCCTTGACTTACTGCAGCCAAGGAGCTCTAGACTCAACAGCATTTCTTAGCTTCTTGAGAGTTTGTCTGCAAATCTACTGCACCCACTATGGATTACTGTAAACAGGGAGAAGAGTACTCGACACTCCTACATCACCTTTTATCTAAGCATCACCAGGCACTTTACAAACACTTAATTAGATGTCCAGCCTTCTTTAGACAAGATTAGAGGGAGAACTTTTTACTTTTCCCTGAGGTATTTATCATAGGCAAAACATGACATCTCTTTACCAGAACCCAGTAACTCTCTGCCAACACTTCAGAAGAGTATCTCAAGAAGAAAATCATATCAATAAACTATACAGAAAAAAATAAAAGCGAAGCAAAATATTATCTAAGATGATATGCGGTTGAAACATTGGGATTAATGTTATTCTCAAAACAATACCATGTAAATTTTATGGTCTCGGAAGATCAGACCTCACGTCTGATGCCACATTTCTTTATAGTATTATCTTTCAAATTATTCCATTGAGAAGTGCAACTCTCTAATCTGTAATATTAGCAACAACAACAACAAAAAAAGCATCTAACAAAGCAAAAAGGAGATGAGAAATGAGAAAGTTTGATTTTGTTTTAAACTTTACAGCATATAAGGAAATTCTCATGCAAGCCTAGCTAAATGCTAAGAAACTCCTGACAGTGTCCTTAAAATGTCTAATTTGACATTTTTGTACTGAATTATTTAAGAGAAAACACTGATACTTTACATGTTAAGTGACAGACTCATTTTTCTAAATAAATATCCCAAATGCCTAATAACTTAAAAGCATAAAGACTCTTTTAGGTGAGCATAAATCTTCCAGACAATTCTTCTTTATAAAACCCCCCAAACAAGCCATTATAGAAGTAAGCCAGCAGCAAAATGGAATGCCAAGACTCATAAAATACCGTGTTTAAAATCCCGAAGAAATTGTAGGGTCTCTTAGGGCCTGGGCTTAGTGTGGCATCCACACAGATGAATGAATAGTTCCCAAACGGGGTGGTGTGGATGTAATGGAAAGAGCCATCTTTGTGCCAGGCAGAGTATTTCCTGCCAAAATAAAATGGAAATATTGCTGTTAGGAAACCTTGCAGCATTGACAAAAATGACCTGTGTAGGATGAATGCAAAATTTCTTGCATTAGCTCTAGTTCCACCTTGTTACTGCAGTAAAGGCTCTTCTAAAACATCAACGGCATTGAGATTCTGTACTTCAAAGATGCATCACACATGTCATATAAGACAAGCAGCAGATTAGTACACAAACATTTCAAAAAGTGTTAGCATAAACTGAGCTATGTGGTATGTTTTTATGGATAATGGACAGGCTAGCAGCATAAATGATACAAAATAAATAGGCAACATGAAGGGACAGCAGGATCTTACACGACTCTTAATTGAAGGAGACCTGCAAAGGAAAACAAGTTATTGTCTTGTGTTTATAGTTGGTATCTGAAATAGTTTTTCAAAAAGAATCTTTCTTTGCTTACGTAGAAATAGGAGAGACATCAAGTCTTGTCTCCACTATTCCTGCCCATGGCAGGGGGTTGGAACTAGATGATCCAGATGACCTTAAGGTCCCTTCCAGCCCTAATCATTCTATGATTCTATGACTTGTTGAAGGTCCCTTACGTTATTCTGATTTAGAATGATCAGCTGTTGGCTAATGAAATATGATCTTGAACCAAAGAAACATTGAACCTTTCCAGTTATTTTCCAGAAGATCCAAAACAGAAACACCACACTACACAAAATCTTATACACAGCAAAGGATGCAGCATTTCCTCTTGCTTATTGCTTTTTTTCATTTCTTGATATAGCAAATCTTACTAGTTCTCCTGACACTTGTAGAATGTCATCAGAATTACACAGAGTAGGAGAAGAGCAAAAAGCGTTGCTGCTCTTTAGCATGTTACGTGATGTTAACTACACTCTTGCATCTCAATCTTGAAATACTCTTAGAAAGACCTGTAAACAGGGAGGGAAGCACGAGATGTGTCAACTAATTCCACCTTTTTTCCCCCTCCATGGTTTTATGCTAATATTTCCTATGATAAATACATGTAATAATGAATATATTCATTGTTTGCTCTTTTTCCATTGACAACATGTATTTTCATTTTTTTTTAAACTTCTAAAATGGAAGTGCTTTTGATACTTTATGCTAGATGGGAATGGCACATATCCTCCATTGGCAAAGATAAATAACGTTACAACAAATGGTATCTACTAAATTGCTCGATTAAGATTTAAATTATGTAACTAAAATAATTGTAAGTAAATCTGAGATTAACTAAAACCTTTTAGGCTGGGGTGGGGGGGGGGGGGGAAGTTTGATTTTTTGGGGGTTTGGGGCTTTTGGGGTGGTGTCATTGCTATTTTTTTTTAATTCCCTCCATGATATGTGGAAGCTAAAACATCCATGAGTTCAGATGATGATTATAGTTTGAACACAGCCAATTGGAAAGCAGTTCATATCACTGTTCCTCCACCAGTCAGAATAAACAGTGAAATTGCCAGAAAGGTTGAGGTTGTCCTGAAGCCAATATATTAAAACCAAGTTTCTGATAGAAATCAATACTTCCAACGCCATAAAGGCCCTTTCACAATGTTTTCTTTTTTTGAAATTAAAGTTATTATTATGAACTTCAATAAGAAAACTGAAAGCTCGGGGTCATAACCTACAATTTCTGTCTTTCTATGACAGTGATCGCTGGTAGTCTTCCTCACTGTGTTTACTGAATGACCTCAGTGCTTGTGCATGCTCACAGGGTCCTAGTGCTGAGTTAGCAGTTGGTATGTCCTTGCTTCTGTTCTGTTCCAGTCTCGCTCTGTGTTGGGCGCCACTCTGCTATCTTGAAGGCTGACATCCTTGGTCTTATTTACTGTCTCCTTAGTTGTTATCAGTCCCATGATGTTCCTTCCCTATCAGCTGAACACTCTTTTCTCTCTTAGTGTTAGTAAGTTAGAACAGTTTGGTCTATTCTACTATGTTAAAGGCACACGCACTATTGTTAGTCTAAAATTTAAGCCTACACTATCAGTGCATCTTCAGTGTAGACTAGAGGCAGATGATTCATGCATCTATCCAATCAATAAGCTTGTCCAGGCCAAGCAAAAATTCATAGATGATCTGGCAAATTCACTGGTGCTGCATCTTCCCATGTGTGTCACTAGGGCTTCTGATAGCGGCCTTAAGCTAGAGTGGAAGACCGATAACAGACTGTCATGTAGCCACAACTGTGGCAAAAGATACAGGGATGTGCACTGCACTGCACTAGCGCATCCAAAAGCCTTGTTAGCACCCTACATTCATCCTTTTATGGTAAATCCACATATAAATTCCATGTTCTCCTGAAAATGCAGCTGCTGTAGGATCCTATCCCACAGAATTTATGGGAAAACATATCTGCCCAGACATCAGATGTTTAACGTGTCCTCTTATTGAAAAGTGGGTGGCTTAAGAGCCTGAATTAAAGTCGAGTTTAGATTTCCAAGTCCTCCTCCAGTTCCAAAGAGTCAAAGCTGAAAGCACCACCAAAATTATGAAACAAGATTTTGTGTTCAGATGCTAAGGACACAAAGTTAAACACAAGTTACAACTGAGGTTACTTTTACAATGTGCAAGCAAAACAGCCAGCTGAAGAAAGGGAATTTTCCTCACTTATCTTCACAAGTAAATCTTAAATGTGTTCCTCAAGAACATTTGCCCACACATCATCACCACCTGCCTTCTTCCTGCTCTACTTTCAGTTTTCTAAAATGGCTTGGAAAAAATTTAGACCTATATGACATGAAAAGCCCTCTTGTGCATGCAGAAAAAACATTTTAAAAAGTGAAGTACTCTCTTGCTTTCTTTTTCTTTTCTTTCATGTATTTTGAGGAGGAAAAGCATTCCCTGGGAACAGAAATACATCATACAACTGCTCTGAGGAAACTGAACATGTAACAAAACATTTCCTAGCCACAGGCAGATTTACAATATGTTCAATTACAAAACACAGAGGGATAAGAAATAAGCAGTCTGTGCAAAGAATGCTCTATTTACTATTAGTCTGGTCTACTAACTGGCATCAGAAACGATAGCGGGAATAGCAAATACGATACTGAACTATAGGAAAGTCAGTGAGAAAAGCATATGTGTGAAACTGAAAACAATATTGTCTAGCGAGTTTGATCTTGAATATAATGGTAAATAAAAGTACCTGTAGTAATTCCGAATGCTATTCAGGTGTGGAATGTTGAATGAATCTGTAAGGGAGAGAAAAAAAGAGATTAAGATCAAATTGATCATTGACCTCTGTATTTTATTTCCTTATGCTGAAATAAAGCTGTCTCAGCAGGCACAGAATATACTTGATGCAGTAGACCTAAAAGAAAAACAGTTTTCTCATTTAAGTTTCAACTCAAAGCTAAAGTTGTTTTGGGAATGTAAATTACCATTTAGTGGCTAAAAGCTAATCACGTGTTTCTACTTTGGTCATAAGGCTTTTTGGACTGAGTGCATTCTCTATAGGCAAGATCTAACTTATGCAAGGAAAATAAAGTAGCTATAGCACCAGAAAAAAGTGTGTATAAAACAGACAGCAACTTAGGGAGGTTTCTCCTGCAGCCTAAGTCCGTCATTAAGGCTGGTAACAAAGGCCTGATAGGGAAATAGGAGTAAAAAGTCACATATGGGCAGCATACGACAACATATGCACTTTTTTTCCTCAAGTGCTAGGCTTCCTAGTTTTGCCCTTCTTGTAACAGCTGGCTTATATAGCTTAAAAGGTTGTTAGCTTGTGTTTGACTGCTTAGAATGTAGCAACAACTAGGATGTGTACAAACTTCTATGAGGTCTTTCTGTTCAAAAGAAATCAATTTTCCTTTACATGCTGAATGTGTGACACTTTTAAACTTAAACCTGTGGGAGCAGGTCTATGAAAAGTAAATTCAAACCATTTCTTCAATAGGGTAAGGTTACAGTTTGCCCTTCAATTAAAAAAGGGGGTATATAAGCTAATGACCTGGAAACTAACGTCTGGAGCTCTGTTCTACCATTTGAAAGGCAAAAGCAATAAACGAAGACTCCTTCTTCCCTGGTACTAATATTCCAGTAAGTGCCTCTAAACAAAGTGTGCCCTTGGTGAAGCAAACATGTAGATGGCAAGCCCTTCTACTGGCTCATAGCCATCACTAATGTGCTACTAAGTACTATATTCTTTAGATTATTTTTATTTTACCTCGATATTCTAACTTGTCTAAATCAGCTCTGTAATCTCAGGAAAGAAATAAGTGTTTAATTTCCTTCTTACCATGATTCCCCTTGATGTCTATCCACTTGGTTTTTTCCATGACCCTTGATCTCTTCAGGATTGACTGGTAAGTTTTCCATTCTACTTCTACCTGCTCAGATCCCAGTTTATCTCTTGTCTTCGCATCTGTGAGGTCACCTGAAAGTGCACAAAGGCAAGGCTTACACACATACTGTAACTAGGTGAGCATGCCATCCATGTGTCCTAGAGTAAGTGCATTAAACACTCCAGTCATCTGCTATGAGAGGTAAATACCTTGTAAGGTAGATGTGGCAGCCTCTTGAAACATCTATCAGCCACATCACTGCAGCACTTTCACTAATGCCATACCAAAATAAAGACAATTATGACATATTCGTTATACCTGAAGACTGTAGTCAGAGAAGCTTTGTTTGACTTCACACCTTCTGTATCCCCGCAAGCTCCAGTTAGAGTTTGAACCATTCCCAGCTCTGTTCATACAGTAATGCCTTCCTGCATTGCTAGTTTAAGGATGAATGCTAACTATTTCTGAACTCTTAACTTAAAAAGCAAGCAGCAGATAGGTAACTCCCTGTAGAGACAAAAGTCCAGGTCTAACATTAAGATTCTAAAGCCTCGCATATAGTAGTGGCTCAAAGTGTTTTTATTCGCTTGCCAAAACTTAGTCTGTTTCAATAGCAAGCTATCAAATGGAATGGCAAGGCTTATTTCACCTGTCTTGGTACGATATGTTCAAACAGGAACCAGCAATGAAATCTGACATTAATTGATAGGTGAATTTCATACAAATGAGCAGGGATCGTTCTGAGAGGAACTGGCTTCTAATGACTTATCACAGACATTGATAATTTCTGTAATTTCAAATAGTGAAGACTGATGTAGAGTTACTAGCAGGAGGACAAGAAGGAAGGGAGCTGCTAGGGACAACTAAGGTGAAGTAATAAGTATTGGAAAAACTGTAACTATATTGCATAATTATGTCTCTTACATATAATATACACTAAACACTGTCAGACTCACTCACTGAACAAAAACTAATTCTCTTAAGTTGCAAAGTTATTCTCTTCTGCTTCTAGCAGTCTATCTGCAGTTGAAACTCCATTGCCATTGCTCAAGATACCTTAAGGCTTTAAAGTTTCCTTGTTTGCTCTTCCTTTGACAGCACATTCAACAGGAAATCCACATGGTGAATTGCTCACCTGTTGCTAGAACAAGTGCTGGCTGAATTATATCAATTGTTTCGGAACAGAATTTTTCGAAGTCAGGAGCTCGTTTGGGATCCCGAAATCTACTGATATGAATATCTGACACCTGCAAAAGAGAAAAATTAAACACTGTCCCAAGCAGAGGATTATTGCTGCCCTGTTTGTTCTGCAAAATCACGTATATAAGAATGCAAAGTAAGAGCAGTCGTAGTGATTCATATCAGTACATGGGATACAGAGAGAAACAGAAGTGGACGATTAGGGAAGAAAAAAAGCAGAGCAAACATGTAACACTGCATCTCTAACCCCTAGAATCATATTTACACTGAGAAAATCTCTTTCAATCTAAGGGCATACAATGATATGAGGAAATGCTTAGCTATCTACAGCAAGTTTTGATGGCTTTAAGTTGGCCTGTTGACTTTCAAATTCTGTGAGCTTCTGGTACAACACAATGATCTTGCTGCAAGAGATAACAGTAAGTAGTTCTGCAAAGCAAAACAAGATTAAAGTCACCTAAGACGTGAAGCATACTGATAACTGATTTTGTACCTGGTGTGCCATTTCCAGCAGCTGGGTGGAAGGACTTATTACATTCTATCCCTGCATTCTAATGGAGCTAATGAGTGTGTTTACAACCTATTCCATGTGCTTCATGAACACAAAGATTGTCCAAGAAATGATGATACCACTCGCACATAACTGCAAAAGGTGCTGTTCATTTCTGAACAGTCAAAGCCCTCACATCAGAAGATACCTACAGGATGGGATGCAGAGAATAAGAAAAGTAAGATTTTTTTTTGTTGTTAATATTATGCTTTTTCAGGTATGTCCCAAGTAAATCTTAGGGGAATGCTTTCAATTCCACCTGCCATTCCATTTCAATGAATTAGTAACTTATCCCCCTCAGTTTAAACAAATCTGACACTCAAAAACCAGTGAGCACATGCTCATGGCCATCTGATGATATCACTGACTGAGAAAGAAAAACATTAACTTTTACGTTCAATTTAATAAACCTGGATCTTTTTCCATTTTGAGAAATCTACATGAAATACCTTGGAGACAAAATGCCTTAGTGTTTATTTACTCAGCCATTTGAATACGTAGGAAGCATTGCCTGAAAACAGTTTTTTAACTCTGCTTAGGGAAATTCCCCATTTGCTTATATGTAATTTTTGCCTATATCAGAATTGGATGCTAAAAAAAGGTAAACATTTTCAGACATAACCTTAACTTCATTTTTATTAATATAGTCAAGCTAGTATGAATCAAAAAGCATAGTAAAACTACCTCAATACATTAAATCTAATTCAACTGCTGACAAGGATACAATGTCTTATTTTGCTTCTCAGCCTGTGGATTTGCAATTCATCTATCTATGAACAGATCAGCAATCAAACAGAGAAAATAAAAACTTCAATTTTGCTGTTTCCAGATGCTTGAGCAAAAGTCTCACGAGACTCTCTACCGATAACAATGAAGAATGTAAATTCCCAACCTTTTATCAGTCAGTGTTTGGGAAGCCTGATTTTCTACAAAGATCTTCTCTCTTTTTTCCTCTACTATGATACAAGTTTAAGATCTACAAAAGGCCCTATCCAGTGACTGAAGTTAGACCTCTGAAGTCACCAGGGAGCCTGAAGCCCGTTTCCCACAACATCATCAGGCACAATGCTGGATTTAGTGCTTGATTTATTTCCAAGTTGGGTCTATGATAAGACATCTGTTAAAGGGCAGATCTGAAAGAGAACATAAACACTTGAAAGTAAAGCCAAGTCTCAAATTAGCTGCACTGTGACCTATTCCTGGGAGAACTCCACTTGAAGTAACACAACCAGAGAGAACATGGGAGATGCTGCATGGATCTGTGCATGCTGCTTGTCAGCATAGCTTTGCAGCTGCTATATGCTGCTGTAGTTGAGTCTCTTCAAGACAGCAACTCAAGATAGGGGCTTTATCTATCTTAATTCAAGCATATCTCTCATCTTGAAATCTACTCTGCAGTAGAGATAAGCCCTAAGTCACTTAAGGAAAAATTACTGAAAATTTGACATTGCAAATACATAGTAATTGGAGAGAACATAAGGACTAATAATACATTTATTTGGCTGATGCACCAAGGGCACTGGCTGCAACTAGTACATTTAAGCAAGGTGTCCTTGGGTTTGAGAATAAAAACAAAATAGCAAAAGCAGCCTATTTGTTAGAAGGAACTGGATGCAACCTCTGTGACATCTCAGGCATTGATTACCTGCAAATACATTTACAGCTTGCGGTCAGTTATACATTAAGCGCTTCAAGAATGATCTGGGGGAAAGAGTCGAAGAGAGGCTACAGGTGTACCCAGAGGTGACAGTTTACTTCCAAGACTATGCCAAGTTAATTTGCATTTACATTCAACCTGGAAAGAAAGCTGTGCACATTTAACCTAACACACGTCACTCTTACACTGGCCCAATACCTTCTGTTGATAAAAATCTGTGTAACTATTTTCTCATGCACACAACTTTCCTGAGCTTTGGAAGGGGACAGGGACAGGCATTATCTACTACCCCAGTAGATAATACTGGATCGGGTACCGAGATAGTACACAGGATAGTGTAATAATTAAAGCTTTAATTACTCGCTTCTACCACGCACATTGGGTATTCTGGCCGAACACCTGTAACTTCTGCTTGACAGAGACCCTCCGCAACAGCAAAAAGGGACGTTTCCCGGGAGGAGGTGTCAGAGTCTCCCACCACAGCGGGAAGGCCATCGGGGACCCCAACCCCGCGCCCGTCCTTCGCCGCAGCCTGGGGGACGCCGAAGGGGAGCAGCCCCGGCCCGGCCCCACTCACCTGCACCACCCACAGCAGGTTGGCGGCCTCTGCCCCGGGGGCGGGCAGGGAGTCCCGCCGGCGCTGACCCGCCGCGGGCGCTGGCGCCCCCGAAGGCACGCACCAATCCAGCAGCAGCGCCACAGCAGCCGCCGCCAGCAGCCCCGCGGCCAGCTTCAGCATCCTGCGCCGCCCCGCCACCATGCGCCCACCCGGGCGGACCCTCCTGCCCGGGGCCGGGCAGCGCCGCCGGCTTCAGCACTTCCGCGTCGCGGCCCACCCCCCTGCTCTGCTTATCGGGCCGCCCTTGCCGCTCCTCTGTGGTTGGCCCGGAGGACCGACAGCAGCGCGAGGGGCGGCCGGGCGGGGGCTCCCCTCCTCCGCCGTGGTCTGCCTGGAGCGGCCGGCCTGTGGGCGCCTGTTAAACGGCTCGGCTAAAACGCTACAGGCCGAAACGTTACCTGAAACGCGCGGCCTGGCGTAGCCCCTAAACCGTTTCGGTGATTTTGGGGGAAGTATGTGCCCTAAGGAGGCCTCGGGCCGTTCCTTTGGTCGGCTGGAGCAAAACCCGGCATACGAAGAGACCAATGCCTCATCCTCTTGTCTTCCCAGTACATCATACAAACATTCACTCTGTTTTTCCTGTCAGTACTTGTAATTCTACCTGCTCATAAATCTAGGCAATTAACCTTTTTTGTTCAGTTTTGGTTTTTGCTCCTGACATAATTTAAAAGTCTTTTCTTGGTCTTTCAACCTTTTTTTTTTTTTTTTTTTTGCCATTCTGACTCTTACTATAGCAACTACAGAGTTTCAGAATCAGTAAGTTATTCTTTGTTATCAACTCTGTTTTCCTAACTGCTGCCACATTTACTGTTCAGATGTTTTTCTTACCATCTTAAGCATGCGTTTAGCTGAAAAAGCTTCTGTCACTGTACACCAGTTTTCTTTGATAGTAAATGTAGTATTTATTCTCAAACAACTTTACAGATAGAAGTTTCTAATTCAATATTGCTTAATTTTAATTTTCTCATATAATTGTCATAGGGCAAAGATTTAATTTTTAGCATTGCTCAAGAAAAACTTCTCAGCTGAGTTAGACTGTATTACTTTCTCCTCAGATGTTCTTGTTAATTTAGCTGCTCTTTGTGGGACTTATGTTAGCTTTGTTATTTTTATCTGCCTTCCACCTTGCTTGTCAGCTTCTTACTTTCCCCAAAGAACACCCCAAACAACTGCTTTTAAACCAACAGTTAGCAATCAGCAGTCCTGGTAATTCTGAGGAGCAATCCTGAAAACTGGGCTTTGCTCAGTTTCTTCCCACAGCTGTACCATTTTATTTTAGCTCTAGCAGGACTGCTGAGCTTACTAAGCTTCAGCATTTTGTCTCCATTAAAAATTATCTGGATTCCTGTTTCGTTCTTCTTATTTCCTCTATAGTACTTTAGTAACCATGGATATCTTGATGTTTGGTGCCATTTCTGCCTGGGTAGTGCTGCCAATTTGTTTTGTCAGAGGTGTGCTGCCACTTATTTTGCCATGTCCCAGCTTACCTGAGTTCCAGATCTTTCATTTTTTTGGCAGTATTTTGTTTAATAAGTGTATGCAATTGTTCAGCTAAAGCAGCTGGTTTACTTCTAAAAGTCCCACAGTAAAGCAAAGCCATACTGGCTGCTCAGAAAGATGGCCACACAAGAAAGGTGCTTGTGTCACAGCAAGGGGACTACATGCAGCCCTCCCCTGCTTGGGTGTGTTTGTTGCTCTCTTTGAATAACAGCCTTGCTTCTCTTGCTCAACTGCATCAGCAGCTGGATTATATTATATTACTGTTGATGCCAGTGTATGAGGAGGACTCCAGTAATCACAGTCTAAGCTCAGCCGTTGTGCAAACACTGCTGGTTAGTCGTCAGCCATGATACCAAAAAGGATAGAGCACAGAGCTGCAGTGTGTACAGTCAAAACTCAGTGAAGCTTTGAAGCAATTGGCAAGTGGCTTAATGGCAAAATCGACTTTGTCCTTTCCTACATCTTATGCCAAAATCTGTTTTAGTGATTTTAAGTGACAGATTTCAATGAAGTAAGTCTGCATTTCTTAAAATGATGAGTGGTAGCTACTACAGAAGAGCTACAGTGGGATGATCTGAAGACGTAAGAACTTCAAGGGTACCTGTGACCATGTACAATGAGAAAAATCTATTAAAGATACCTGAAAAGGTCACCTGCAAACTTTATGCCATCCATACTGATAACTGAGGAGCAAGGAAAAGTATCTCAGAGGCCTGAAGCAATAAGACTGCAATGGAAAAAGGCAGTCTTCTAAAATCAGAAGAACTAGACACGTGGTTAATATGTATGCCTGCAAGGCCTAAAGCTATGGCCGCTTCCCTATTTCCCCAGCCCTAGAAAGGCACAAGCACAGGGAATTGCACAACTGGACTGTTTTGCAATAATCCCTAAGACTTCCAACAGCTCTTAGGCCAGGTCTGTCACACATCAACCAAGTTCCTAAGCACCCTCATCTTCTGCCAGAGTACCCAGAACAGTTACAATAAGCTGTAGCAAGGAGCTGTGGAGGAAACACTTTTGACCCTGGAGACAGGCATGTGTCTAAAGCTACTGCTGCCTCCTACGCTTGTACGGAGTTCCTAACATTTTGCCTTTGCTTAGCCCAAATGGCAGATGTGCCATGTCTGCTGAAGGAGGACGAATATGCATGTGCATATGAAAATTACTTCCGCTGTTATCTTGCTATAAATGCAGGGCCGTAAGCAAACACCAACACCGTGTTAAGTGTCCACATAGGAACTCTGTATAACTCTGCAGGCAGGATTAACACAAGTGTCGCGGGTCGGCCGTGTGAAAGCGCTTTGCTTCGGCCTCCTGATGATACCAGGAGACGCTGCCGTACGGGTCCTGGCCTCCCCAGCAAACCAAACAGGGTCAAGGCGACCGCTGTCCCCTCAGTCCCCGGCTACGGCGCCTCAGCCCGGAACTCCTCAGCGCCACGGAGCATGCGCGCGGTGCGGCGCCGGCGGCTGCGATGGGCGGGCTGTGGACGCAGCGCAGCGGCCGGGTGACGGCGGCGGCTTCTTCCGGGCGGTGACGCTGTCGCCGGCAGCGTCCCTCACTTTCAAAATGGCGGACGGAGGCGACGGAAGCCACGGAGGCCGCGACGCGGCGGGAGCAGCGGGTGGCCGCTTCCCCGTGCAGCCTCAGGAGCGAGCCATGGTGAGCTTGCAGCCCGGCGCGGTTCCCCCTGCCGCCCCTCTGGGCGGCCTGAGCCCTGTCTGTGCCGCTACCCTGCCGCTCGGCCGAGCCTTTCCTTCACGGAGGGAACCGGTGCACCCCGCTGGAGGGGGTCGCGTCCTCCGGGTCAGGGCCGCAGTGCGGTGCCGTGGAGGGGTGGAATGCGCTGTTGTGGGGCCTACAGTTGCTGGCGGGTGGCAGCGGCGGCGGCACCTGCTGAGGCATAACAGCTCAACGGCCACGGGCGGTGGGCCTGGGGCGGGCGGTCCGCAGCCCCCCTGCGCTGCGGGCAGACCCTGGTCCGGGCCCCCTGGGAGCGCGGCACGGCCCAGGCCCGGTCCCGGCGGCTTGAACTGGCCACAGCCCGACGGCAGCTGTCTTTACTCCTTGGAGCCAGCCCTCTTCCAGCCCCGGCGAGTTCCTGTCAGGCGGCCCAGAGGGAAGCAGTTTGTTGGCAGCTCCCCGCAGCATCTTCTGCCGGGGCCCTGACCCGTGTCTTCATTCGACTTTTCCGTAATTAAACGAGATAAAACTTTAGAAAGCTTCAGAGACTGTCCTGTGTCCTTAAGACCTTGTAGCATATACATGCGTCTTTATCCTCTTTGTGACTTTACCTTTCTTAAGGTGGCTACTGTGGAACAAAAAAAGGCTTAGTAACAGATTATTGTTCCTCAGAGTGTGAATGAAAGCAACAAATGGTGGCGTTTAGAAAGGATGTAGATGGAGACAGTTGTTTATTTGCTGAATAGAATTATTCTCTCTCTTCTGTGAATTACTTTAAGCACGTATTTAATATTCTCTATTGAGAACACAGCAGTGTTTAATCTGTCTGTTTAGCAGTAGTAGGTAAGGGCCTTCTGTGCTTTCTGTCGCAACCTTGTGATTACTATGTTGCCAACGCTTTTGCTAGAGGAGTTCAAAACCCAAAGCCTGTTAAGAAAGGGAGCCTGAAGATGTGTCACAAACTTAATCGTGTACCATTTTATGTTACATTTTCCTGTAACATCCTGAATATGTACTGTGGGTTTGAAACTCTTTAAAGTTGGGCACTGGCAAGCCTGTAGCGTATTTAAATTTTACAGCATGCTACAAACAATAAAATTAGGAAAATGTAAATGGGGAGAAGTTTACTCCTAGAACTTATCTTGCAGGCAGCAGTGCTAAGCCAACAACAGTTATTTGTTGTACCTCCTCTTGCAGAATTGTAGGGGTATCTGCAAGTTGTAAGGATGCAGCCTGTAATTACAGAGCCTTGTAGTGATAGGACAAGGAGTAATGGGTTCAGACTTAAACAGAGGAAGTTCAAGTTAGATATAAGGAAGAAGTTCTTTACTGTGAGGGTGGTAAGGCACTGGAACAGGCTGCCCAGTGAAGTGGTAAATTTTCCATCCATGGCAGTGTTCAAGGCCAGGCTGAACAGAGTCTTGAGTGACATGGTTTAGTATGAGGTGCCCCTGCCCCTGCCATGGGGCTTGGAACTGGATGATCTTATGGTCCTTTCCAACCCTAACTATTCCATTATTCTATTTCTAAAGTGAAGTATGTTTCTATGACTGTTACAGGCCTGTGAGTGGAGTTTTTTTTTTTCCTGTATTAGAAACAGTTTGATTTTTAAACTAGTAAAAATGTAATTTGATTGCATTATGCTGTCAAAAATTACAGTCTGACTCAAGCAACTTCTTAAGCTTGAAAGTCTGAGGTGATAGTTGCAGTCAGCAGAAAAGCAATGCAATCAGCCTCATTATTTGAGGACATAAGAGCCTGAGTTAGCCCAGGAAATGCATAGAACTGATAATAGCGATGGTGTGAAAAACAGAGATATTGAAGACATCCTGAGCTACTTCCAGTTGATGCTGGTCCACTAAGTTGTCTTGATTTTCATGTTGTTTTAGACAAATCTCTGTGCCAGATTTACTATTATTCCAAGAGAGGTGGGTGGCCAGGTTGTGTTGTCTGTCATATAGCCAAGCAAAATGCAGGAATTTAGGCAGGGAATATGGGGTGAGGGTATTAAGGGAGAAGGGTAGGTGGGGATATG